ACGGGGCGGCGCACCGGTAGCACGGGGGGGGGGGGGGGGGGGGTCCCCAGGGCGTCGCGACGGGATCGCGGAGGGGCGCGCGCGGGTCCCAAGGGGCGACGCGACGGTCGACGGGGGGGACGCACGGGGCAGGAAACCGCCATGCGCCCCGAACGCATGGCGGGAAGAAAAAAACGTCGCGCGCCACGGGGCGCGCGACAGACAGGACACCAGCGTACATGGATACCCTAATTTGGGCTATACTCGCTATAGAGTACCCCACTGCAGGCTAGACAAACATCACATTCTGACATTTACATCACAGAGTGAGTACATTTCATTTATCTCTTGTAGAGTGTATGTACACAACATATGCGGTGGCTTATCCATGTACGCGCGTCTTGCAGGTACGGTTTCAAGGAGATGGTGAAGGTGATGTGCACTTTTCAGCAGCAGCAATAGCTGATGTACATACACGCGTCACCTTGGATCGGCATCAGCTGTGACAAGAGCACAGACAGAGCGCACGGGAAGCATCTGGTGGTGTTTGCAACATTCTTGAAGGACCGTCAGGTGGTGACCGAGTTCTACGCACTCCTAACCATCCAGAAGTGTGACGCTGCTTCTATCTTCACCGTCTTTCTGAGCCACTTGGAGACTATCGGCCTAGATGTGCAGAGGATCATCGCCATCAGCACCGACGGCGCGGGTGTGATGGTTGGTTGCGAGAGGGGGCTCGTGGTGCACCTCCGTGAGCGCATCCCTCATCTCGTCGTCACGCACTGCATCGCGCATAGGTATATAGCGTTTATATGTATCACATGCTGTTCGAATCGAAAAAATCCAGTGGCCTAATGTGTGTGTGTGTTACTGTGCAGAGAAGCCCTCGCGGTGAAGGAGTCGGCGCTGAACTATAAAGACCTCGACATCGTCGATGCTGCAATCAGAGGGCTTGGCGACATCGTCACGAAGTCGTCCGTCTGGTATGAGCGCTTCAAGGAGCTGCAGCAAGAAATCCACAAGACAAACCTGGAGCACCAGGGGCTTTTTGACGTGAGGTGGCTGTCGCGTGGAGATGCTGTGCAGCGGCTGTGCAAGGTCCTTGGTGCGGCGGTCGTGGTATTTATTGAGTACGGCCACAAGCTGGCCGCTTTGGTCCAGTCGCTGAAGTTCCACTGGCGGATCTTCAAGCGGAGATCAACGCACTCAACAATTTTTTCCAGCGACGCAAAGTAAGTGATACGACTATTGATGTGTACTATTCTTCCACTTTGTCAAAAGTGAGAGTGCTCTTAACGCAATCTTCCTGTTCCCGCCTCAATCTCAGGTTGACATCACACTTGTGCACCAGGAGGTGGACCGCACGATTGCCTGCATAAGGCGGCGCTACGTGGAATACGACAACGCCTTCGGAAGGGGTTCAGCAAGCTGCTGTCGCCATTCATCGCACGTATGGCCAGCAAGAAAAGGAAGATCAAAGTGGACGGTGTGGATGCGGAGGGCGAGCCAACATCGCATGAGATCCAGCTGAGCGAGGAGCCGATAAAAGGGCACAAGTACGGCAGATCGATGGCCGACTGCATCAAACTATACAAAACGTTTGCGCTGGAGGTGGCGACAAATGTGCATACATGCATGCACAGCCTGAAGGAGATGGAGGGCAGCAAGCTGTACAAGGTGGAGTCGTGGCCAGATACGACAGAGAAACGGGAGCGACGGGTGGTGCAGTGGCTGGATGCCAACGCACGTGTCTTCAAGAACAGGCTGCCAGGTGTGTTGTTCACGTGGGAGTCACGCTTCATTGGATGTGCTGTTTGCTAGTGCCTTGTTGGAACACTTCTTGAAGAGACATTAGTTTTGCTTTATGTTCACGTGGCAGGCTTCAACCACAGTGCGGCGGAGCTGGAACTGAAGAGCTTTCGCCACTTCATGTCGCGTCACTACGAGGATGACGACTTCTACCAAGGGCTTTCGAAGATAATGAAGACCAAGGACTGGCCACGCAGCTTCCCCAACCTGGTGTCGATGTGGCAGGCGCTTGCAGTGATTCCGCTAAGCACCGTGGAGTGCGAGCGCGGATTCAGTCGGCAAAATGGCATCAAAAGCTGGATGCGCACATCGCTCGGCAACGCCCGTTCATCGGAGCTGATGACTCTCAACATGCTGGACTACGTGTACAGGTGGCCGGACGTGGTGGAGATCTGGCGGAAGCAGAAGAAGAGGAGACCCGCGAAAGCACCAAACCCATACAAGCCCTGTGATGGAAAGAGCAAACCAATAATGGAGTCGTCTGATAGCGAGGCCAAGCATGATGGTGACTGACTGACTGAAATATAATTTTTTAGATGTCACCTGAAATATATTACGACTAAGCGTACAAGCATCAGTGCACGTTAAAAACCCACACTGATTACTCAGGGTAAAATTTTTAAGATTTAGGGTTACACTGCTCTATCAGTGTACTGCAAATGTACACACTGCTCGCAAGGGTTTTTGGAAACGTCACACTGCCAATCGTGAGTAGGCAAAATCCAAACCTGAGCCCTGCCAAGAACCTCTTTTTTTTTATTTAAGAATTATGGGCCCACCCATGCTGCGCCCTACTGTGCGCTAGCGCCATCACGGACGCCAACGCCAACGCGGATGCCAGCACCAGCGCCAACGCGGATGCCAGCACCAGCGCCAGCGCAAGCGTGGACGCCAACGACGAGCGCAAGCGCGGATGCCAGCGCCCAGCGCCAGCGACAAGCGCCAGCTCGGACGCCAGCGTCCGAGACGGCCGCTAGTGCCCCCGCCCACTCGAGCTCGCTCCCCACCCTACTTTCTACTAATCTACACTAGTGTCATGGCTGCTCAGGAGCTCCGCTGGCTGATGTTCTTGTTCACTGACCTAGGTGAGGCGCTTACTTTGCTCCTGCCTTGTTCACTTACAACAAGGTCATTCTTGTTAAGATACTAAGCAGTCAGAGAGCAGTAGGCTTAGGAGCCATAGGCTTAGAGGCCAGTAGCTAGGGCTTAGGGTTTCTGAAAGAGAATTGAAGAAGGAAGGGGTTTGGACTAGGAGCAGCAAGATACAAATAGGAAACCCTAATGGGCTGTACTCGCTACAGAGTACCCCACTGCAGGCTAGACAAACATCACATTCTGACACACCCCCATAGCCAAAGTGGGGTGTAATCAGCACAATTAACAGGCAGAGCCATAGTTCACAATTATAAGCAAAGCTAGAGGCTATCACAGAGGGCAAGTGAGGAGGAGGAGAAACTGTGGGGGCGAGAAGATGGGAGGCGACGGCTGAAGCTGCAGACACACGCGCAACAGAAGCGCGCAGCACTGTCGCTACCAGGCGCAGAGCCCCGGACTACACGGCGACAGACACTCGGGCAACAGGAACGGCGCGCACAGTGGCTACCGGAGCACTCAACCTCCGGACTACAGGAGTAACTGGCTCCGCACTAAGCTGCAGGAGCAACGGACCCACAGGCGACTGGCGCAGCAGGCTCGCTGGGCTACCGGAGTACTCAACCCCCGGACTACTGGCGCTGCTGACGTCACAACGGCGACCTGTCAACCTCCCCCAACTGTCCCACACCCCTATCACACACCCCTTGGTGCACCCCTAGCTCCACTCCCACGACACCCCCCTAGCGCCACTCCCTCGGCTCCCACACACCCACCCCCCTCAGCGGCAGCTGCAGCAGTGGGAGACGGAGGAGGAGGAGGAGCAAGGGAGGCCGCACACACCCAGCACCCCCATACTCGCCACCCCCACACTCGCGGGATTGGGGGGGGGGGGGGGTGGGCGGGCCCCCAGGGCGTCGCGACGAGCGACGGGAAGCGGGGGGGGGGGCAGGCCCCCAGGGCGTCGCAACGGGCGACGGGAAAGGGGGGCGCGCGGGCCCCCAAGGCGTCGTGACGGGTGACGGGAAGGGGGGGAACGGCGCGCGGGCCCCATTGGCTGTATACCCAGCTTGACCTTGTTCCTTCTGGTCCTCACATGTTAGGCTTTTGATATTGTTTTTTGCTTTTTGTATGTGTTACCTATGGATATGGACTTTTTTTACTGACCTTGTGGCCATTTGTCTCAGTGGTTAGAGTAATTGTATACCTTTGATTTCTCATCCATTATCATTTACATGCCCATCTAAAACTTCCGTTGTCTTAAGGGTACATTCCGCTCAGGACACTTTTTCAAAGAAAGTGTCCCAATCGAGTGTACCGCTCCGAACCGAACTAAACCAGAGACGCGAAAATTTCGACAATGTTTGAAACTAGGGTGTAATTCGGTGTAATACGATGAAGTGCAGTAGAATCGATTCAGACACTTTCGATTGGGACATGTCCAGCGCGGAATGTACCCTAACTCCGTGGCTCCTTATCCTATCCAAACAATTAACTGTTACTTCAACAAAGCATACAATAATACACGTACACACATCTCAGACAATTTCCAATGGGAGAGGAATGATTGTGAGCATGCATCTGGCAATAAGTAGACTTATGTAGGTGTACTATAAAGGGTTCCTTGCAAGATTAGTTATTTTATCAATGGTGGTTGGAATATTTCAAAGATTTCTGGAGCAGGGTGCCATCTGGAAGCCCTGCCCTGGTGTGCAAGAATTTGGAAGCTGGCGTGGACACGACCATTCGCTGCCTGCCGCGTGGAATCGTTGCCCAGATTACCGAACCATTGCCAGCCCCGTGCCCGCGTCAACAAGACCCTTGAATTTCGCCGCTTCTGGAATGAATTCCTCGGCTTTCGGGGTGAAGCTCTCCGCCCCTCAGGCGAAGCCTTCCGCTCGCGGGGCGGGTTTGCGGGGATGGCTCCGCAAAGCACCAGCACGGGGGCAGGGAGGGCTGCGTGGGATTTCTCGAGTGTTGGGGGAGTGAGGTAAGCTCTTCCATCATCACACAGCATTCTCAAACCCCACATCCTAGCATCAAAATTTCTCCAGCGGATTCCTGCGTCTGCCATTCCTGCGAACAACCACACCACCCCTACTCTCTATCATCATCCAACCATGTCTTGGCAATCCTACGTGGATGATCATCTGATGTGTGCCCTTCCTCACGGAGGACAGTTGGTGGCGGCTGCACTTTATGGTCAGGAGGATGGTAACTGTTGGGCGCAGAGCGCTGAAATGCCAGTGGTAAGATAAGAACCTCGTGTGGTTATGGTTTTTATCTCTGCTGACGCGTGAACTGACTTAGTCCCCCCCTCCCCCCTCTGATTATCAGATCACTAAATCGCAGCTCGACGGTATTATTGACGCGTTCGACAATCCACAGACGCCGCTGGCGTCAAATGGGCTGTTTCTGGGTGACGAGAAGTTCATGATGGTGGCGGGTGACCCTGGCGCTGTCGTTCGTGGCAGACAGAAGGAAAACAAGGAAAAGGTATAATATCGTTTTTTTTCGCGTCCCTAGCACCGCCGCAGCTTTCGATGTAAAATGTTTTCCTGAATGGGAGGCCTCAACCTGGTCGGTTTGATTTGCAGGGCCGGAAGGGCCGTGGTTGCTGCATCAAGAAGACTGGTAGTGCGTTAGTCTTCGGCATTTTCGAAGAGCCTGTAACGCCGGGTGACTGCAATATGGTTGTTGAGAACCTGGGCGATTACCTCATCGGCCAGGGTTACTAGCCGGCTGTCGGAGTCCAAGAGTAGGTTCGTGTGGATGCTACGATCTTCGTGAAGCCAACTCGAGTTATCTTCGTATGGATATCTTGGTGAAAGCATTGTTCCTGTCTTGTTACTCAGCACTTGGCATTGGAACTTGTAAGCTAGGCATTCATCATCGAATCCTTCGTTTAGAATATGGATGTATGCACACTGCACTCTACATGTAGTTCCTTAATTCAGCTATGCAGCGATATGAGCTGGGATGTCCGTGAGGTGGGGAGCTTTAAGCGGTGCTAATCATCATTCAGAGTGGAGTGGTTCCTCTACCTAGGCTAGGCAATATGCAACCAGCTAGCTACCTCTAACTGGAAAACGAGTAAGAAACATATTGAATGGTTAATAGTTGCGACAGGAAGAGGATTCAAACTGATCATATGGAATACGGTACCCTTCTTCCTCTCTCTCCAACTCTCCCTTCGAATCCCTCTAGATGCCCTCTCCCTCCCTCCCCCTTCATTTCTTCTCCAGAAACAGGGTAGGGTGTGCCGAAACTAGGTTGAGTTAGGAACTAGACACGTGAGTGACATGAGTAGTGAAATAGATGAGGGGTTTCATTATTGTAACAGGGTTTAGAGGTCCCAAGAATGTTGTACGGTGTACCCATTTCGGAGTAGACGAAACAGTAGAAAAGCTGGCATGGTTGGCAATCTGCTTGTGATTGATTCTCAAATCCCTAGCCCGGCTCCAGCACATGTTTCCATATGTTATTCCATCACATGTTTGATCATGCATTCTCACACAGTTGTAACGCGTACATATGCCTGGATTGCATCCCAAGTCGCAGCTATTTTTCCAGCACACTCCGCAGGTCTCGGCGTAGTGTATGTCAGGTGTCTCGACCACAGATAGACATGTAAATTGTCTCCATGAATCTTGCCAAAACTTGTGGCGAAGGGAAGGTTGTGGAGCACAGCCGAAGCTGGCTGCCACCAGCTCGGGCTGTCATCTTGGAAGGAAGGCCACAACGTTGGGTTGGGGGTGATGGTGGATGCACCAGCATACGATACATACGTGTACCGAGTGCTCAGGTCGGTCTGGTCTGGCCTCGGTCCTGTGCTGTGCGGGGGCTCGTGTGGAGTATTTCGCCAACCACGTCTCACCCACCCAGCGGACCGAGACACCTCCCCCAGGAGGAACTGAGGGGGAAACGACTCGCGACTCGTAATGTGAGACGCCGCGCGGGGGGGACTTCCATTTGCTCCAAGCTTGATTTGCCTGAGTCACTAAGCCCGTGTGTGTCTGAGGTTTCTTCTTTCGACACTTGTGCACGTCCGCTCTGCAGCCACATTCACATTCAGCTGTATTAGTTCCGTCGTGCAGAAGGCGTTTTGAAACGGTAGTGAGGATTCACGAGAGTACGTAACCATTCTGCCGTCTCCCAGCAAGGCAGTTCAGGACGGTTCGACAGCCGCTATTCGCCAACTGGTAACTGGAAATCGAGGATTGTCGTCCGTAGCGCCCCTCCGCAAATCGAAAGATCAACTATCTACGATCCTCATCGACCTCAGATACCTGGCCCGACGAACAATCGGTAGTTAGATCTTGGAGTCCAATTGAGTGCAGCGACCCGCGCTCAACGCAGCGACCCGCGCTCAACGCAGCGACCCTTGCTCAACGCAGCGACCCGCGCTCAACGCAGCGACCCGTGCTCAACGCAGCGACCCGCGCTCAACGCAGCGACCCGTGCTCAACGCAGACTGACTGTAACCGTCAAGTGGAGAGCAGGCAAGTCCAGATGATGGCGCGACTGCTAGGCCCTGCCAGCTCAGCTATGGCTGCTACCATTAAGATGAGCATTCTTACGCTTGTCTTCCTCCTCCACCTCCACGCCGCGTCGTCGCTGTCACCAGCGTCGTCTCTGAGTCAAGAATCATCTCCGCTCGATACGCCTCGGACGAATTTCCTCTGGCGCTTCCTGCGAAGCTGGCAAGCAGCGCATCATCCGCCGCGAACGGCGGCTGGCGCGGCGAAGCGGCCGTCGTTATGGCTTCAGTACCGGCGCCACCTGAGCGGGAATCCCGCTGACGCGAACGTTGACCTGGCGTCATTCACGCGATACCACGGGGACGGAGGGCCGTACTCGCTCACTCCTGGGATCGATCCCACCGACCATTCGCTTGATGACGTGGCAACGCCCTTCGGACGGCGTCGCCGACTGCGTACGTGGCAGGATGGCCTCCCCGCATCCATTACCCTTGTCTACGATCTTCCGTTTCCTTCTTCCTCCTTCGCCTCTTTTGTTTTCTCTCTTGCTCCATCGTTCCCTCCCTTGGGCTTCTCTCCCTCCCCCTCCTCTCACTCTCACTCTCCTTCTCACTTTCCCCTCCCGTTCCAATGTCCGTGTCATGTTGACAGAAGAGAAGAAGCAGAAGGGACCTTGCACCCCCCTCTCGGAAGCCAAGGTCATCCCCGTTTCAAGCCCATCCGACATCAACAAGCGGCTACAGCACCCCAATTCCGTCACCGTCATTCTCGAGGTCACCCGCGACCTCGTCCTTCCCAAGGGCCTCGTTTTCTCCGGCGCCTTCCGCTGCACAATTTTCCGGTCAGCCCAGGGGAAGCGAAACTTCAAGGTTTCTCTGATGGGAGACAAAGAGCCGGTGATTCGCGTGTGGAACACCAGCAACGTGGTTATCTTGAGGCTGGATTTTTGGCTGGGCGTGACGGCGCGGTCCGGTGAATGCGAGTTGCTATTGGACACAGATATAGGCCGCGGCAATACGTGTCCTACGATCCACATCTGGCGGTCCCATAACGTTCAGGTCGCGAAGGGGAGCTTCTGGGGTCGGATCGACGTGTTTCGTGCCATGGCTACACGTGTAGACAGTATGAAGGGTACCGGGTTAACGCTTTTCGTCAAGTCGCCAGGAGTTGTTCGCGTAGCGTTTTCAGGTTACGGTCCCGCGCTGCTGAAATCCTGGGTTGCGCTAACCAATAACGAGCTGTACGGTGTAGACCAGCCGATTGTGCTTCAAAACGGCGCAGTGGGGGTTATAGCGAGGAACAACTACATCCACGACTTTTTATTCGCGGGGATTCGATGCGGAGCTGACGTGTACAACCAAGGGGACTGCATGCTGACGACGCTCAGCAACAACCTGATCGTCGCGTCCGGGCGGAACATGTCGGGCGACCACGACGCGGCTGGGATCTACTACTGCACGCACTTTTTCAACCCAGGTGAGAAAGTTACCTTTCATTTTGGTGCGGCTGGCGCTCGGGTTACCTTACCTTATTCTAGCTGTGATGTCTAGCGTGGCATTTGCACCACTGCCAGTGGCTGTGTGCCCAGCCATGGTTGATTTAAGTTCGACCTATCACTACTTCTCTCGTTCCTCAGTGATCTCTTCCCTCGCTGCTCTCGTTCCCGGCTTCTCGTCACAGGAAACATTGCGGAGTGCAATTACATCTTCAATGGCGATCACTGCTATTATCTCGACTACGCCACTTCGGGGGTGATTATCCGCGGTGGCGCGTGCATCAACACATACGACGGCATGAAAGTCAACAACGGCCACTGGTAAGCGGCCGTTTAATTTCCCTGGTAATGCCTTATCCCTTGTATTACGCTTCCACCTATCATGCCTCAACCAGAAACGCCACGAATCACGCCTCGGGCACACGCTCTCAGGGCTCACGACGTTTCTCGGCTGTCTGTGCTTTATCCCGTCCCAGGAATGTGATTGAGGATGTAATTTTGAAGGGCACTATAGGCATGCCGGGGTGGTGCCAGTGCTACACGCCCACCATCAACAATTGCGCCAAGAAGCCTGGGACCTACTGGGAGGAGATGCGCATTAACTACTACAACTCGCCGGTCATCAACCAGGTGCCTGCACAGCCCTGCTCTGACACGCCTCTCTTTGTTGCTGCGTACATGCTTGCCTTGTCGTTTGCAAGCTATCAATCCATGTTTCCTGCAATCTGCTTGCAGAGACAGTCGCCATAGTCTCAGCTTCTTGCCGTGTGTTCTTCCGATATGGTGTGGTGGAAACAACCATTTCAACCTAATCTATTACACTCACCCTCTTCCATCGTCTCCCCTTCTTCTCCGTCCTGTGATTTTCTCCATCTATTCTATTGTTGACGAGCAGAAGTGGCCTTGGTTCAAGACAATCTGTCAGGCGAGGACTGTGAATGGAATGAAATGCAACACCAACGAAAGGGGCACATTGACTGGCGCTCAAACTGGGCATTGCAGCGGCCTTCCTACCCACAACACTGTCAATTTAATCGCTGTTAACACCACCGACTATGAAATGGGGTATAGATACTGCGAGAGGCTCCCTACAGTGCTGTCTGGAAAGTTCAACGACCACAGCATCATGAGAATTCAACGGCCAAGACGAGCAGCCTTCATTGACTACCGAAAGAATGATTTGGGCATCGCCTCAAAGGACTCGGTGATATATACAAAATACCCCAAGTTCAAGAGCTGCCCACGGTCTGAAGTGGGGCCGAAACGTGTCCCTGACTCGTTCTACTACAATTCGTACAATCGGCCCATGCCGTGGGGCTTCATGGCGGTTATTAGAATGGGAAAGCTGCACATCCACGACCTTCCTGGTTGGCCGTGATTAGGCATTCCAATTTGTTTATTAGAGTGTTTTTTGTTTTGTAGAGTGTTCTTTTCCTTGTTTTAACACGGAGCTCGTGCTTTACCGATCTGTCGAAACTGGTCGAATTTGAAGTAGGAAACCTGCGATTCGAGCAGAATACCTACTACTCATCCGCGTATTCCGGGTGCCGCGCTCATTTCGGAAAACAAGCTCTGAAATCACCTGCGCTGTGGTTGTCGGCACACTCCATTGGATTTTTAGGTCACTCTCACCTGCAAGCAACCTCTCGCCTGATTTCGCCTGTCTCGTCGCAGCTGAACTCAGGCGATCGCATATATCGCTCAGCTAATCAACTTTGTCGTCCGTCTCCCTCCACCTTGCACACTTTCCTCGCTTTTACACCCTTCCACCTCCAAATTCGCCTCCCCTCCTGACTGCGGCACCAGCGGGACATGTTGGACATACTCAGGGCGGGTTCAGTGTGTTTGTTCACAGTCATCCGTCGTGGCGCAGTACGATTCCAAACGGTGGAACAGCGGTTAACGAGCTTCACCGTTTTTTACCGTGACGCAACAAGAGTAACCGCACAGAACGAACGAAGGACGAAAACACTGGACGCTCCCAAAGCGGGTCCTTTCAAGTTACAACTTCCCGTCACAACGAGCGAGATCACAAGAGAGTGCAGCGACAACAACTCCTAGCCATCGAGCTTGACAAGGCATGTGAGCTTGACAAGCAAACATTTCCCGCAATATTATGTTTCAAGTTTTTTTGTCTCAGGCAAGGAGAGTTGCATAAGGACCCCACATACAACAAGCCATTTGATTCTTTATACAGCGCCGACGTGAAACACCCTACCTTGCGGAGCACTCGTAGCGCCGACGTGAAACACCCTACCTTGCGGAGCACCCTTCGCTCTCGTCGCTGGCTCGGAAGCACCTCCTTACGCCTGTTTAGTACGCCGTTCGGACACTGTAGTTTCATTATTCCACAGCGCCTCACGCCGCCTCTGCGAGCAGCTGAGGTATTCTAAAGAGCGGCGTATTTGTTTGAAGGCAGCGCTACGGTTACGATGGGTCGAAAGCACTCTTTTTTCTTCGCAGCGCTCCTTCTCCTTGTCCTCTCCACACTCTCAGATTCAGCTTCAGGAGCCGGTGCGGTGCTTGTGTTACTTCCCTTGCCCCCTCCCTTGTCTCAATTCCTCTCGATCCTTCATTGTTTCCGCCGCAACCGCGTTTCCGCTTCCCGTGTTCCTCTTTGTTCCCCAACCTCCCCCGCTCTCCCCTTCGTCCCGTTTGTCATTCTTCGTTTCCTCCTATTTCCCCTCTCCCCTTATCCCCTGGTGTCGCGGTCTCAACTACTCCCCGTTTCCACTCTCCGCCCATCCCCTCTCCGCGTCTCCCGTTTTCTCCTCCCCCCGACTTCCTGTCCCCCTCTCCTTCTTTCCCCTTCGCCCGCTTCCCCCCCTTTCCCCGTCGCCCCTTCTCCTCAGGAGACATACAGCAACCCAACTTTCTAAAGCGCTTCGTGACCACGTGGCGGCACTGGCACCGCGCGGTGACGTCCCGCTCGTCCACGTCAACATTGCTGCAGCACCGGCGCTATCTCAGCGCCGACCCGGCGGAGGCTGCTGACGTGGCGCGCGTGCTGCGCCGACGTGGCGGGTGGTGGCACGACGCGGACGGCCAGGCTTACGTTTCAACTTCTGGAGACGAGACGATACAGGAGGTGACTGATGACGTGGCGGAAGGCATCGTCTCGCGGAGACGGAGAAAGCGTGAGTGCCACTCTGCCTGTCATATGCTCCTTCATAGTTCCCCTGTTCATTTCTTCCCTTTTTCCCTTCCGTGTCCCTCCTTTATCTTCCCGGTTCCTTCCCTCCCCTTTCCCGCGCGTCCACTTCACTTTTTGTTTCGTTAAGATACTGAATTCTCCCCCCCCCCCAAATTCCGGCTCTCTTTTCTCCCTGCTTCCCTCCCCTCCCTCCCCCTCCCCTTCCCCCTCCCCCTCCCCCTCCCCTCCCCTCCCCCTCTCCCTCCCCTCCCCCCCCCGCCCCCTCCTCCTCCCCTCCCCCTCCCCCTCTCCCCCCCTCTCCCCCCTCCCTCCCCCTCCCCCTCCCCTCCCCTTCCCCCTCTTCCCTCCTCTCCCCTCCCCTCCCCTCCCCCTCTCCCTACTCGTCACTCACCTCTTCCCTCGCTGCAGTGGTGGCAGCGAACGCGACGGGCCCATGCACTCCGCTCGCGGACGCCATCCTCATTACAGTCACAACCGAAGAAGATATTGCTAAGCGGACACAGTACCCCAACAAACAGACCGTTATCTTGGAACTGGCCAATGACATTACGCTTTCCAAGGGCCTTGTTTTCGACGCTGCGTATCGGTGCACCATCTTCCGGTCGAGCGCGGCTAAAACAAACTACAAGATTGCTTATATGGGGGACACGGAGCCACTGCTGCTTATAGCGAACACCAGCAATGTTATCATCCTTCGCATTAATTTCTGGATGGGTGTAACAATGAGGTCCCCGGAGTGTACTGATTTCCTGTACACGGATCTTGGGTCGGGCAACACGTGCCCTACAATCATGCTGTGGCGCGTGCACAACACGCAGGTCGCCAAGGGCTTTGTCTACGGCCGCATTGATGTCCTCCGAGCCATGTCGTCGCGTGTCGACAACATGAAGGTTACCGGGTTACCGCTATTCGTCAAGTCCCCTGGCGTTATCCGAGTGTCCTTTTCGGGGTATGGGCCAGCTCTCCTCAAGTCATGGGTCGCCATCACAAACAATGAGGCGTATGGTAAGTGGTTACCACTCGCTGGGTCACAGGGTTACTGTGTTATGTCCAGTTCAGCCTATCGCATTGTTCACGTGGCTAGCTGGTGGGTTACGTCCAGCCTTACAAAGTTAGTTCACCACTTCACTCTTCCATTGCCATATTCTCCTAACTCCCTCTTTCTCCTTCACTCTCTATTCCACCCAGGTGTGGATCAGCCAATCATTCTTCTCAATGGCGCAGTTGGTGTGCTGGTCAGAAGAAACTACATCCACGACTTTTTATTCGCTGGAATTCGGTGCGGAGCAGATGTGCACAACCAAGGGGATTGCATGCTGACGACAATCAGCAACAACCTGATTGTCGCGTCCGGACGGAATATGTCAGGCGACCAAGACGCGGCTGGGATATATTACTGTACACATTTCTTCAATCCCGGAAATGTTGCAGAATGCAACTACATTTTCAACGGGGACCATTGTTACTATTTGGATTACGTTTCGTCGGGAATCAAGATTCGCGGAGGAGCTTGTGTGAATACGTTTGATGGAATGAAGGTCAACAATGGCAAATGGTGAGTGGCGGACATTTTGTGCTCTCTCTCTCTCCTTCGTTGATGTTTATGATAGAGAGCCCACCTGCGGTGTGTTTCCCCAACTAACGCCAAGGCGTTTCCGAAGATCGTTTGCTTGAATGTGTTCTCTGGCTGAAATTATAATGGTGCTTGCAGGAACGTTATAACAGATGTGATTATGAAGGGGACGCAGAATACACCTGGTTGGGTCGCGTGCTTCACTCCCACGAGCAACAACTGCCTCACACACTCTGGACAGTACTGGGAGAAAATGCGGCTTAAATACTACAATTCACCTGCAATATTGCAGGTGTGTTTCGTCACTACTCCCTTCTTTGGTAACCTTCCTAAGCCCTTCCCATTGTCACTTCATCCTCCCTGTTTCATCGGTCTCACTCATATCTACCAGCAGCTACCATTCCTCCTCCGTCCTTTCCCCTGTTTCCTGACCACTCCCCTCCTTTCCCATCCTTCGCTCTCCCAATCCCCATGTCGCCCCCACTGCAGGCCAACCCGTGGTTCCCTACTGTATGCAAGGAAAGGGCGATTAACGGGTATCTATGCAACATAGGGAGAAAAGGGACCCTGTCGGGACGACAGACCGGCTACTGTAGCGGTCTGCCCACAAACAATACGATTCAGTTGATCACAGTGCAGACGTCGGACCATGAGCTTGACTTCAGATACTGCGAGCGGCTACCTACAGTGGAAAGCGGACGGCTTAACACTTACTTAAAAGTCAATATCTCCAGGCCTGCAAGGGCTAAATTTGCCCATTATTATCGGAACGACTTCGGGATTACTTCCAAGGATTCGGTCATCTACAAGAAGTTTCCCAACTTCAAGAGCTGCCCGAGAAGCAAGGTCGGGCCGAAGAGAGTTCCGGATACGTTCTACTATGGCTGGTACAACCGACCAATGCCATTTGGATTCATGAGTATCATACGGATGGGAAAACTCCATATTCATGACTCTCCAGGCTGGCCCTAAAGCGTGTTCTACCACCTGTACACTACATAGCTTTGCCTTGATAAGGTATGTCCATCCAACATATTGGTCTGGAAGTGCGCATATAAAGTCGCACACCATATGGCATGCACGAATCACACTTCGTGTACCCTCGTTACCACTCGAGCAACCAAATTGAGGTGGCGCACAGGAAACCATTTTAGTCTGGATCACCAGGAATTCACGAGCGTGAGAAGAATTCCCCCCCCACCTTATGTTTGGTTGTGTTGTGTTGAGGTACTGCTGTTATGAGCCCAACAGGGTGGGTGGGGGGATGATGAGATGACCCCACGTCTGCTAGAGTATGCACAGCAAATCACGGCGCAGACAGCCAAATAGGTTCTTAATGCTGCTGCTTGTTCATGGATGAATGGTAAAATAGTAATAATAACATGTGTTTGAAAGAACAGGCTGGTTTCCATGACACGCCATATAAACAAGTGAACAAAATAGAGCCATTAGCCACAGCTGGAGTCACAGACTAAGGGAGAGGTCAAGGTCCCTCTTCACATTCTTCAAGCCTTTCACATCGCCAATATCGCTGATCTTCCTCTGTTTCGCCGCGCGAGCGGCTATAACAAGCTCCGACGTCTCGCTAGCGCTCTTTCCGTCAGTTTGCGCCAAGAGCTGCTTCGTTTTCACGTTCAAAGGCCCGTCCCAGTGCTTCCGCATGTGTCCGCCGAGCGCCTGCCCAGTGGAAAACTGTTTCCCGCATTTCGGGCAAGTCTTGATCGGTTGTTGCCCGCCGCGCTTCCGCTTTTGTGGCTTTTCCGCCTCCGCGGATCCGGCGGTGCACGTGGCGCTTCCGCCGCTTTTCTGCTCCACCTCGTGCTGCGCGTCGGGGGAAGCGTTTAGGTCTAAATCCACGAAATTGCGGTTGGGCGACGCGGACGGCGCCGCGGCGTAGTTTTGCGACCGGGGCGAAAGGAAGCGGAGGCTCGAGAATTGAGCGTCGGCGGAAACGGCGTTGTTGTCGGAGCTCTCTTCCGCAGCGCACGACGCGGCGGCGACGCGGAGCGTGAGCAGAGCGTTGGCGCCACAAGCTACCTCGGTATCGCTGTTCGCGCGTTTTCGAGAGCCCGCAGCAAAAGACAGCATTTCTCGACTCGCCGGGTTGGTCTTGCTGTGAGAGCTGGTGCCGTTGCTGACGCTGGAGATACGTGGGCTGCACACGTTATTATCGCGCGACGCGGAATTAATAGCGGAAATCGCGGACGACTGCTGCTGCTTGATCTGAGAGAGGGCGTGGAACAGCGGGAGGTACGCCGCGAGCGACGCGTTCGGCGCGATGTCGATTCGGGGGCGAAGCGCGTGCGAGGCGAGGCTGATTCGGGCGGAAGATTCAGTATTTGCGTAATCGAGCGACCTGTTGAAGCTGGCGGTACTAGATAAGCCCGCGAAATTCATTGCGTGGTAAAAGAAAGGAGAATGAAGGATGGATACTCAGAGCCCAGTGATGCTTGAAGGGGTTACCTTGACTCCAAGCCAACGCGAAGCTAAGGAGGCTGATTGTAAGGAAGTGAACCGTTGCGGAGCGAAGAAAGTGTTGCTGAATGACCTTCTGACTCCACACACCAGTCTTTATATCTCGGGTGGATAGGCTGCACAGTTAGGGCAAGGGAGTGCTGCGCTTTCTGCTGGGAAACACTGCTTTCCAGGCGTAACATAGGTGACGGCTAAGTTGCCTCGAGGTTGGCGCTGGCAAAATCTCCCCATTCCGCGTCGACAGACATTCCCCACCACCCCACCCCGATTTTGCCGCTGTTCCTGCGCACTGCGCTGAAAGTGACGTTGTGTTTGGTGGAAGTGCTGGATCCATCCACATCGTGCTTCCTGACTCGTGAGCGAGGTTGTGAGGTGTGCGATCTGATCCGCGCGACATGACAGCCAAACACATCACACACCTCGCGGGCAATCATGTTTAGCACAGCGGCGTCACAGTGGGGTGTGGAGTGGCGGAGCTGAGCTGCGGGGGAGTTTGGGATGGGATGGGGCAGAAGCGGGTTGGATCATTGGATGGCTGACGAGTGTGATGTGATGACCCTGTACACCCTCATTCTCGATAGACTGGCATATGTTATACTAACAGAGACGCTTAGTGTAACCGCAACGGACCAAAGAAGGTCCTATCACATGCGTTATAGTGACAATTTGACCCAAGGCGTTGAGTCAGTCAATGTTTCAAAATTCATACAATGGTACTGTTATTTTCTAAACGGTTGAGACGGTTATTCAGCGTTAATGGTTTTTTACTGCCCAAGGCTTGTTTCGTCACCTCGAGCGACTTTGCCTGCAATCAAGTTATCGAATCAGCCCGCTACGTCAAAACACTGTAGCCAGTGCTTCCGCTGGTGAGATGGGTTTGAACGAGGGTGTACAGTACTTCACCCTGTGATGAGTTCCCCCCTCCCCCCCAACCCCACAGCGTTGGCTTTTCAGCAACACTATTCATCGTTGGCCTTTGGCGAACCAAAGGGACACCCACGCTTGACACACCAAAACCCCAGCACACAGCTGCCTAGCCTAGCTAGACTCCTTTCCCCTCTCCTTTCCCCTGAAGGGAAGTCACAGCTGACAGGATCCACCCGGGGTAGAGGATGGGGAGGTCCCGTTGTCCACCGGTTTGTACGACGGGGGTACGTGTGCATTGGGCAAACTCGAAGTGATTACCCATTCTGTCAATTTCTTCTGTGAATCCATCACAATTCTATTTAGTTCAGTTACGACTGTAGTGTGTTGTTTGTACGTTTTCTCGAAAGAGATTCTACTGAAAAAATACTTGTGTTTAGAATCGTTGACATGACATTCACTCATACGAAATTGGTTTTGTGCGAAAACAACCCTGAAGTGGTAGAACTTCGAAAGTGCTTTCGTTTTGGGCGCGGTTGGAACTAGATTTTCACGAATCAAAATACAAGTGAGGATCACCACATCGACCATGATTCCAGGAGGTGGATGTGTGGGGGTGAGCGACCGTCAATCCGTGTGGTGCTGCTGAACACGTGAGAAATTCCGCACGTAACTTCGAGCAAACTTGATCCGCGTGCTGACGGGAGAACTGTTGCACACGACTGTGGCACATCATGTCCGGCACTGCATTTTCTTTCCCCTGAATTGTGACAGCACGAAATTCACGCAAGAGTGTAGCTGTAGCTCCAACAAAACCGAAGCCCAATGTATTAAAGGGAATACTTTATTCGACAACCACGAAAAACCTGGACCCGTCCCGCTCACCAATTCCTATCGAAAGGGGTAGTCGCTGCCCCGAAACTGGAATACTACAGTCTGTGCAAAGGTCATCATGACATTGAGATACGATTCTGTGTCGTCACCGCAATGCAGTGATCGATCAGCATCCCAGCCGCGAGGGAGGCTGGGACTGGGACAAACGCGTCAGCTTGCAAACGACTGACAAAATGACCACCAGTGACTGGGCTGGGGTGGGCAGGTGGGTGCGTACACCTGATGCGCGTTATAGTCCCCCGGGTGGCCCTTGTGCTCTGGGCTTATATCCGATTTCAACTTTTCGCTGAGTTCGTGCATTTCGCAACTGCCTTGGGGGGTTCTTAAAAGGCACAGACGGTAACACCTTTGTCTTTTCCCGGTACAGTGGCGGGCGGCGTGTTTTGTTGCGAGCTAATGAACATGGTTACCCCCCCTAACGTTTCATTGCAATGCATTGCAATTACAATCAAACGCCCTAATGGTCACAAACAAGAAACAACCAATAAAACAGCCCCACCTGTTCCAACACCCCAACAAACCCACCACCCCATTCCCCCCCACCCGTACCCGTCCCGTTAATGCAATCACCGTTCAACGCTGGTGTGCATGAGTCGTGCATATTTGTGCAAATGCGAAAACACGGTCCCCATCCGTTGTGGATTTCACAGCCTCATCCACTCAGCCGCCGCGACATACTGTAGCCGCCCATCACGGCGGGCGCCCCAGCGTCAATGAGCTCCTGCCGGCGAGCAGACTGGGCAATCCAGTCAGGGGTCGGCACCGTCATCCACGCCGGCAGAACGCGACCACGGCGACGTGGAGTCTCTGCTGGCGGGGTGTCCTCGTGCGTCATGACGGGCGCCGGAGCGGCGTTCAGGTTGAGCGCCGGGCTCGCGCGCTCCATCCGCGCGATGATCAGGGGGTTGCGGATGTCAAACAGCGCGCACAAATCCCTCGGCGTGATGCACGTCGCACGGGCGTACCCGATGAGCATCTCGCACGCGGCGCGAGCCGTGCGACGTGCTTCGCGCGTCGCAGAGTTGTTGTCGTCGTACACCGCCTGCATCGACGCAAGCGCCTCCCACACGTGCGCCGTGTCCGCCGATGCCGGCTCCAGCGCCAAGGGGTCCTCGCTTGGCTCGGCGCACACCGGCTGGTTGTCATCTATGCTGACAAACTCCGCCGCGGCCATCGCCGACGGCCCGAGGCCGAGGCGGTCGATCAAAATACCGACGTCGTTCACATCCTCGTCCAGGCCGATGTCGCCGCCAGCCGGGAGCTGAGGGTCAGCGGGGAGCTCCACGTCCTGCATCTCCATCGCCCACGCCCGCGGGAGGCATTCGGTGCGCCACCAGCAGCGCTGGATAGTGCTACGCAAAATGTTCATCCACGCGTCATGCAACCACTCCAACACACGACGGAGGTTCGGCTTGTACCTCGCCGCCGCCGCGGTCGCGCCATCTGCGGTCCACATGCCGGAGAAGGCGCGGAGCCAGTGCTAGCGGTATCGCGCCTTCGCCATGGCGATCATCCCTTGGTCGAGGGGTTGCGTGAAGCAGGTGGTGTTTGGCGGCAGGTAGACCAAGCGCACGTTGTTGAGCTTCTTCGTGCGGAATCCGAAAAGGTCTTCGGTTTCCGCGCCCTCGGTGATCAGGGTGTGGCTGCTTGCGTTGTCGAGCAGCACGACAACCTGGCGGCCCTCAGCGTACATGGCGGTGTCAAACTGCTCAAAGAAGTGCGTGAATACTGTAGCTGCACCGCACGGGGTACGGGAAAAGTCAGTGGGGTTGGGGGGGGGTGGGGGGGGAGATTAGAGATGGCTTCATACACCGTGGGGGGATAATGTATCATAGCGGTGTACAACTTGTGTGCGTTAAAATGAACTTACCGCCTTAGTCATCCACCCCTTAGCAGTGTTGCGCCAGTAGCAATACTCCTCGGGGTCGAAATTCGGCCTGAAATCATGGGGCCGCTTGGCCTTGGAGATGATGAGCGGACGGAAGGCGTGTGTCCCCTCCGCGTTAACCAAGAAGCCGACGGTGAGGCGTTCCTTCGGGAGCTTCCGCCCGGCAGCCCTGCCCGTGCCGTATGTCTTGCGAGGAAGCACGCTGATGTAAAGCGCCGTCTCGTCAAAATTGTAAGTGTCACGCGGTCGCACGCCGAGATGCATGAGAAGCTGCGGAAGCTTCTCCTTTGTCGTGCGTACGGCGTTCATATCCTGGTCGGCCGCCTCGCCGACGGCACTCATGAAGCGCACACCCTGGCGGCGCAGCGCACGGCGCACCCAGCCGATGCTGCAACGGAATGTCGGAGGCGCGCCGTTCGCTTGCGCCATCGCCGCGACATGGTCGCGGATCGTCGCGAGGGTGAGCGGGACGCCGGCAGGGCCTGCGTTGGCAATCCAGCGTGCCATCGCGCGCTCCAGATCGGGGAATGCCCCTCCTCTGACCCGAATAGCGTCGACGGTGTCGTCAGGAATCCGCCATCGGTCGGCGCCTTTCAAGACACGACCAATGGTCGAACGGTCGGGCCTGACACCAAAACGCGTGAAACACCAACGCGCGAGGTCTAATTAGCGCAGCAGGGGGTTCCCCACATGATGGGCACAAATAGCCCGTTTGATGTGCAGCGCGAGCTGAGACCTATGGTAAAGGCGACGCATTTTGCGCCACGGATGAGTATTAGTTAGATTGATCTGTCTGTGGTTTGTCGAGTTGATTTATGTGCGGGCTGTGAGGTGGCGTTGTGCCTCAATGTGTTTCAGGGGTGTGGGAGGTTTCGCACAAAATGCGCGCACCAGATGCACATGCATCTGCCGGCGTTTGTAGAGGTTAGGGGACAAGGTAACCACAGCCACTAACCGTGACGTGTGCTGTTTGCATACTGTGAGGCTCTCAGGGGGCATGTACCGAGCAAGGGCAATGTACAGGTGGACATTTTCGCACAGCCACAAACTGTTATACGCACCTGGGTGATGCACATGTGGCATGACGTAACCTGATGTTTGTTTGGCGACGTTTTACGAATGTCGTCCAAGCGTTTCGTAGCTTCTGTTTCTGGCTTAAAAACAAGGTCCGGCCCGGACGACAATGGTCGTCCTTTGCTGTGTTGCCGGGTTTGGAAGTGTTCACAAGGTAGATGCAAGTGGTCTCAGGTGCTTATACCCTAGGTGCGTCGTCAGGGCAAAAAACCCACGGGGGTAAGGTTTCCAATTTGTGCAAGGCATTTTCGCGTGCAGGGGGTGAGCATCATGTGTACTGTACTGTACAGTTCTGTACACCTGTTCTCCGGTATTTCCACACCCCCTACCCTCGTTTTTGCCAGACACCCTATACGGCTTGAGGATCGATGAGACGGACACCCTGACACTACGGGTCTATCAGTAAAGAGCCGTCAGGTTCTGGCCATTCGAAACTCTAATTTGTAATCAGGGTGAGCGGGGAAAATTCCCAGTGCCATAATGTTAGAGTGTTAAACTCGCATTGAGGTCGTGTCTTATTACCTTCGAAACTCCCGCGTTCGTTTCTAACTACCTTTGAAATCAGATTTTTACGAGGGTAGGTACCCCAGGGCGTGAAGATAGGGGGTGTGGAAATACCGGAGAACAGGTGTATTTGCTGGACGTGCAGTGTGAACGGCAGATCCCGAACGAGGGATGTGGAAATTTCGCCCGTCAGTGGAGACAGTAGCAACGTCATCAGGGTGGCTTGGAAGTGCGCGATAAAAGATGAAACTCCGTTTCACCATAAAACATGATGACCAACCATAACTCTCAGATGAGAAGCCATCACAATTTTGTTTTCTACCATGTGCAATGGTGCATCATTTAATTCCACAGAACATGCCCTCAGAAGGTACAGCGTGAGTATATTTAAATGCCTCCACGTTTAAATATGTCTCCCATTTGTTAGCATGGTGCCCATGGAAAGCCAGGAAAATACAAGAAAAAAGTCGTGATAGCCTATGTATCGCATGATTAGATATGTCTGGCTACTGTTGTAAGTATAACTCGTGTTCCCCTTTTTTGTACAACGCACATGTATTGTTCTGTTCTCATCTACTCAGCTGTTACAATAAATATGTCTGTATGCAGCCTCGATGCAGCGCACTTGTCACGATGCAGCGCGGAGGATGTGTAACTTTGCGAAAGTAACCCTTGTGTTTCGTGGTCCCACGCCACAAGCCCACCCCAATGCCACGGATAACGACCATTTCGCTTCCCAAAAAAGCAGTGCACAGATGTGGGTGGGTGATGGCAGATCTTGTTGACCTCACATGCCCCCTACCCACACACGCGACCGCAATTCCAGGTAGGTTTGCCATCACATGGAGAAGAACCAATCCAATCAGTTTGTCGGCATGTCTGCCAGCACACCACCGTGGGCTCCGTGGCACGCGTCAGCATTTCTTGGAGCGTGCAGATTGAGCTTGATCCCCGCTGGCAGCGGTGACTCGGGCAATCAATGGTTGAGATGCGTTTTAGCCAATAAGGCCGCGTCAGCTCGGGCACACACAAACTATCTGTAAATTTCGCGGAACTGAAAAGCAACGGCAGGACAAGCGTCGATTTTCGCCGCAATGGTCGGCGATTGCAGACCTGTCCAGCATCGAACCCACAGGCGAAACACCTCACCTCGTCACGCAGCTGTAACATCCTTCACGAGCATGATTTGAACAGTACAGTACCCCGAACCTGCTGCAGGATGGTCATTTGTCTCGTCCCTCTGGGCTCACGTCAGCTCAAGTTGGCACTTTCCGCCACACGCCACGGTATCTTCGCGCGCCAGGCTCAAGTGAGAGAGTATCACTCCCCCCTCACTCTCGCCGCTCAAACCCAACCCATCCAACCAAGCTGGTCTATTTCAGCGAGGCTTGCTCATTCTCAATATCTGTCAGTTTTATTTCCCCCCTTTTTTTCTCATCCACCTTCTTTTGTTGTAGCTTGGTCCGCAAGAAACCGTAGAGCACACTTGTCACGATGGCGCTGCACTTTATTAATCGCAACAGAGTTAGCAACCTCGTGGAGTTTTTTCTTCGCGAGCAGCAGGAGAGCCACGCGGCACGGGATCCTTCACTCAAGGCGTTTCCTTGTAGCTTTCAAAGCGCATCTGCATCGAAAAAGAGACGCCTTGTCGACTCAGATGAGCGATTTGCGTCAGCATGCGGGAGAAGGCAGGTCGAAGAGGAGGAGCAGCTCCAGTCGGAATCCAACATCACGCACACATCGCAGCAGAGCTTTCCCAGCGATGGCCACGGCGCGACCCCCGTCACTCACTCAGACGAAGACGAAGCTGAGCTTGCTAACTTGGAAGAAGAGCTTTTGTGTCGCGGAGCGTCTGACTTGCTGCTGCTACGCATGGCGAGTGCACCGCCGGAAATGGAAGGCGTCCACGAAATCGACGAGAAGCAACTCGACCTGAACGCTGAGCCAACGAGTCCTCCCGACAGCCCGCCAGCCACTCTCGCTCAATCTTCGGAAGACGGTTCAGTCCAGCTTCCGGGATTGACGAACCGCACTACGGATGCCGATCAGTTCCTTGCAGGCAGAAGCGCCGCGGAGACGAGTCACAAGCGGAAACGACCCGCGCAGCAGCAGACGAAGACGTGTCTGAAATGCGGAAAGAAATTTGCGACCGGTCAGGCTCTGGGGGGACACATGCGGAAGCACTGGAATGGATCCATCCGCGTGCAGACGAAGCAACTGCTTGCCGAAGTTGGGCCTTCGAGGACCAGTAGTCCGGCGCACAGCGGGAGCCATAGCCACGAGTCAGATCTCGCCTCGCCTGAGCACGATGGCAAGCAGAGGCGGCCCAACGAAGCAGAGTCAACCGCCAGGCCTCTTGAGATCGGCGATATTGATCTGAACTTGAAAATATAGAGAAGAAGTTGGCATGTAGCCTGATTGGACTTAGAGTCCTTGATAGTGTAGTAGATGTTCATAAAATTAGGTACTGCTGGCTTAGTTGGTGATCAAACAAATATGTCTTGTTGTGAGATAAGGTACCACTCCCAAGCAAGTGCAAATCAGATAGTGTAGAAGCAGAGCTGAAAATGGAAAAGGGGACCCCGAAGCCAAAACTTTTCCATGTAGTAAACCAACCCACTAAATTTTTGCAGCTTAGTAGCGTGCTTATTTGATATTGGTAGGAACATTAGTCCAGAACAGATGCCAGGCCTGCGGCCCTGAGCCACACTTCCTAAGTTGTAAGCTCATACGGTAATCCCAGGCCAGTTCTCAACTGCATGAAGCCACCTTTGTATCATACAAGCCCAATTGCTCGTGTAAAGTACCTGTCTTGGGCATCACAACCTCAGGTCCAGATCAATTTCCTGGGCATCCACTTCTTTCTCCAACTCCATCGATTCTTCTGAGAACCGCCTAGTGAGGTTCAGCTGACACGGCGACGGCGACTTACGGCTGTGTTTGCTGTCTTGCGCAGCAGCGCTCTTGGTCACACTGAGCGAGTCTTTTGCATGCCGTGAAGAATGCTCCGGCCTTTTTGGGCCCTTCCAATGCTTCCGCATGTGACCGCCTAGTGCCTGCCCGGACAAGAAAATTCTTCCACATTGGAGGCATCTCTTGCTCCGGGATGATCTTTCCTGCTGCTCAAAGCCAAGGCTATCCAGAAGATCACCACCACTAATCATGTCCCTCACTCCACCAATGTTGATCCTGGCTACCTCATTCGCTGCTCGAAGCGCCATGGCAAGCGATTCACTGTAGCAGCTCCTCTCTGTTGCTGCCGTGATCCTTGGTTCGCCCAGGAAAGCGGACAGCGACGAGGTTGCCACGTCAGTTGACGAGGAGAGACGCGCCAAAGACGCGACGCCGAACGAAGGGGACGAAAGTCGTCCGCCAGTGGTGACAGGGCCAGGAATCACGGAAGGCATTGGCTCCCAGGAATTGCCGCGCTGCGCGTGCAATAGCAGCTGTTTCCGGAGCGACGCATTACCTCCAGCCTCCGGCAACTCAGGAACCTGCGATTCCGGAGCCTCCGGCTGTTTCCTGAGGGACTTGCGACTCGGGATCTCGTTCTGCCCGCAGTTCGCACGACCTGCGACGTTGGAGGATGAAATCGGGGCCCTCTCGCGTCTCCCTGCAGCCGCATTCGCCGCGAGCACGGCGCCCGCTATCAGCGCAGCAGCTGCTACCGCGGCGCTCTGCTGCTGTTGGTTCAGCGATCCCGCCGGAGACGATTGGCTGGCGTCGCGCGCGGAGATCCGCGGAGCTAGCTTCGGCAGCGCCATAGGTCTCCCCTGTTGAAGCGGATCGCCCGTCGGCGGGCCAGCGACTGCCGCCGGTGGAGACTCGTCACTCGCCGCAGCTCGGAGTAGCCCACACAAATGGTCGTCAGGCAGCCGAGGCGCGATAGCGTCGACGCAACTGTATGCCGCCCCGCCGGTTTCGGTCGCTCCTGACGACGCTGATGCGGCGGCGGCGGCGGTGGCGGAGGAAGCCTTCTCGACGGAGCAGGCGCGATCGTTAGAAGATGGCGGCAGCAGAGGGTGGAGAAAAGGCGTCGCCGCGACACGCGGCGTGGCGGGGGTAGCAGCCGTAGCGGCTGTTGCGGTTGTTGACGCGTTCTTCAAACTGAGGAGAAGCTCCAAGAGCGGAGAGTCTGTGGTGCGGTCGACGAGAGCCATGGCTCCGCCGTGAGTCACGGGCCAAGCGCAATTCTAGTAGCAGGTTAGGAGTGCCACGGGTGTGTGAATGTGTTTTGAGTCGGCAGTAGTAGAGAGCGTATGGCGCGCGATAGAGAAAGTTGACTGCGGTCGCTGAGGGGGGGATGCGAGCAGGTGACGAACGAGAGTGAGTGAGAGATTGCTCAGAAATGGAGCTATTATGTGTTCAGATGGCGTAGCACTACAAATGCTTTCATATAAAACACGGCGGGTATGTTTCGAGGAGCTCCATTGGAACGAGAAAAGCGAGAGCAAGTAGAAGGGCGCCATGCTGAGGCTGTCTGGTCCTGTCTGGTCTGGTGGTGTGGTGATGCGATGTGAGAGAGAGGCTAGTGGGATTATGAGGTCGAGGCAGTGCTTAGATTGCTTGTGTGTGTGTAGCAGCCATATGTGAGGGGAGTGGAGAGCGAGTGAGCAGCAAGCACCACCTACGCACACACCACTGTGATGGTTTGGCGGGCGTTGCGTGCACAGAGAATCTTGTCAGTTGTCCGCCACCCCCCCTCTCCCCGCCACCATGAATTCCACAGGACAGTTTGTCTCTTTGTCGCTTTTTAATGGTACAGTTCAGAATGAACGATGTCTATATGCCAAAATAACAATATATACACAAAGACGCCTAGCCAATGTTGGTTACACTCATTACAAGCTAAACAATGTGTGAAATTCGCCATAAGCTTGAAACGTGCAGTGTAAACGGACTTTCGACCAGTGGCTATGCACAGTCCTCCACTACAATACAAAATCTCACTCCACCCCCACACCTTCCACACATGCCATGCCTTCTCGGCTGAGCCCACGGGCAGCCAGGCTGTCAAAGGATCTGCTCAACGTGTGTGACTTGGCGTCAAGGATTGGGTTGGGTTGGTCTAACACGTTGACAGCGTGAGTCTGTTCGGACTGAGTCACTGAGCTGGCGCGGCGTGACTGTTTACGACACAACAGTGCGGCTGGAAAATTCGATCAGCCAGCAGGGCAGCTGAAGTCGTGAATCGAAGGACATTGTACATAAATATAGCGTCATTTCGTCCTTCGTGGCAAATACTTCCGCAGCCATTAGCTCACGGACATGGCTTACTAGCAAGTTTTGTGAAAAGATGAACCAAACATATTTGTAGACATTTGATCATGCAATCAGAGACTGAGCTGGCCAACGTGCCGTGAACAGAAGTTCAATGCCGCAGGATTGCGGCAGAAAGGACACGTCAAGTGTCCGGGCGGACTCAGTAGTGGACTTTGTGCTGTATCCTTCAAAGGGAGCTCCGAAGTTGGCACAGAGCCTGGACAGGTGGTTAGCCTATCAACAAAAGCTTGACTAGCTACCTCAATATTCAACGCACTAAGAAAACACCTCCACAACACAATTCAATCACCATATCATATGGAGCGAAGTGAACATTCCTAACACAAAACAACCCATGCAAACCGTTCACCATCATGCACTATCCATGCACTTGTGATGCTTGGAGCCCCTGAAGCTACAATTCACACCAGCTTCCTCATCCTGAGCGCCACTCTCCTCCCGCAAACGACGGCGTGAAGGCGTCTGAGCAGCATGAGTTGCTCCAGAAGAGCTGCCTGGGAGATTTCTGTCGTGCTGTGCAGTCTGCTCTTGGCAAGCAGCAGCAGCCCCATGCTTTTCAGATGCTTTGTTGTTAATTGTGGCCTGCGGTTGAGGCGATTCCAAGTGCTGCTGGGGCAGTTTGGCCTGGACAAGGTATAGATATGCAGCACAGATATGCACGAACAGATACCAAGGCATGAAAGAAAAGCATGAAGCGCTCGCATGGAATGATAGCACGAGACAAAAGAATGAAACAGCATGCACAACCATGCGTTGTTGTGTCTCGATCCCCATCTCTGCAACCACATAATCCACATTGCACCATTGTGCAGACACACACCACAACCCCAACCATCAATACCCCCATACCCATCGTCCCACACACCCATCCCCAACCCCATATCTACACCCACACCCACACCCAGGCCCACCCCCCACACACACCCACCCATACGTCAATAACGGGCCCCTGACTTCATGCGTGGGGTGTGTGTCACAGCCACCAGCAGCACTCTGCGCACACACTCTGAGAGTCCACACGATAACGGGCCCCTGACTTCATGCTTCCTACCCTCCTACCTCTCTGTTTGTCCTCCTTGACCTCCCGCCCAAATATGCTTCTGACAGCCTCTCTTGCGGCGCCATGTGGCGCTGTGCCACGTCATCCGCCTCCATCACTCTCTCCCACTCCTTTGCTTCCTCCTGCCAGTAGATAAACAAAAGTGGCATGAAATGCCATGCCATGCAACATGAAAGGAAGTGGGATGAGGATATTGCAATACAGAGGAGTGAGGATATTGCAATACAGAGGAGTGAGGATATTGCAATACAGAGGATTGAGGATATTGCAATACAGAGGAGTGAGGATATTGCAATACAGAGGATTGAGGATATTGCAATACAGAGGAGTGAGGATATTGCAATACAGAGGATTGAGGATATTGCAATACAGAGGATTGAGGATATTGCAATACAGAGGAGTGAGGATATTGCAATACAGAGGAGTAAGGATATTGCAATACAGATGAGCCAGCATCATCAGCCACTCCATGACGGCAAACCTGCCATGACAGCAGCAATCATGACATCCTGCACACATAAACAACAACGCCCCAACTCCACCGCTCTCTACTAGCCTTCCCCCGAATCACCTCTGAACACCCCAAACACCTCTCAACACCTGTACTACACGCACAAACCACTCAAGTTCCCTGCACCGACTCACCGGGCTCAGCTTTCCAGCAGCAACAGCAGCTGAGAGAACCTTTCCCCTCTCCCCTGCAGACGTGCCCCCTACTCTGCTACACCTCACTGGCCCACCAGGGTGAGACCCCTCTGCCCCTCCCGCACTCCTGCTTGCTGCCCCCCTTCCCACCACCCGCCCTGCTCCCTCTCGAGCTGCCCCTCCCAGCACTCGTCTCAGGGCGCCAAGGCCCTGCCCCAGCACACTCCTTAGCGCATGCTGCTGCTGCTGTGACTGCTGCGGAGATTGCTGCTGTGGTTGCTCCTGATGCTGCTCCTGCGACTGCTCCTGCTGCTGTAACTGCTGCTCCTGCTGCTGTAACTGCTGCTCCTGCTGCTGTAACTGCTGCTCCTGCTGCTGAGACGGCTGTTGCTCCTGCTGTGACTGCTGTTGGTGGGGAGGGCTTGGTGGCTGCTGCTGCTGCTCTTGTTCCTGCTGCTGCATTTCTCTGTCCTCTCCATTTCCTTCCGAAACCCCTCTCTGCCCCCCAGCATCCACTGACCTTTCCCCGCTCCCCACACCTGCTAGCCCCCCTAAGCCTGCCAGCACACCAGTCAAGCCTCCCAGCCCTCCCAGCAGCGCCTCAAGCCCCCCCGCTTGCACCCCCGGCCCCCCTGCCTGTGCCCCCGCCCCCCCTGCCTGTGCCCCCGCCCCCCCTGTCTGTGCCCCCGCCCACCCTGCCTGTGCCCCCGCCCCCCCTGCCTGTGCCCCCGCCCCCCCTGCCTGTGCACCCGTCCCCCCTGCTCGTGTGCCCATCCCCCTCCCTATGCTTCCCCCCTGTGCCTGCACCTCCCCCCCTGCGCCAGGCAGCAGCTGGGGGCGCATGACTATGGTGGGGAACGGGCCAGACCCGCCCACCAGCGCTACAGTCGCGGGAAACTGTAGCAGCGGCTGTTGCCCCGCAAGCCATGCCAGCTGTTGCTGTTGTTGCTGCTGCTGCTGCCGCTCTGGCGATTGTTCTTGCTGCTCCTCCTGTTGCTGTCGCTCCTGTGGCTGTGCTTCCCGCTGCCCTCTCTCCTCCCTCCCCCCATCCTGCCTCTCCTGCAGCTCTCGCCTCTCCTGCATCTCCGAATCGTAATCTGCCCGCCGCTGCTGCACCTCCTGCCCCTGCCGCCCCTGCGGCTGCTCCTGCGCCTGTGCTCTCTGTCCCCGGCCCTGCATGTGGGAGTTGTATTCAGCTAGAACCTGCTGCATGTGGAACAGCCGTGCTGCCGCCCTCACCTGCTCTACCAGTGACGTCGCCTGCCCCTGCTGCTGCTGCCCCTGCTGCTGCCCCTGCTGCTGCTGCTGCTGCTGCTGCAGCAGCAGCGCCAGGGGGGTTGGCAGCATTGGTGCTGTTGTCCGTTGGCGGGCGGGCATGGGCAGCAGGGCGAGAGGGGGCGGAGCGGGGCTGGTGCGAGGCGAAAGCAGGGACGCCAAAGAGGCCCACGTGCACCCCACCTGGGAGAGAGAAGCTCGCAACAGGCGTGGCGGCGGATGCTGATGGCGCTGCTGCTGCTGCTCCTGTGCCTGCCGTTGCTGCTGCTGCACCTGTTGCTGCTGCTGCACCTGTTGCTGCGGCTTCTGAGCCTCCTGCTGCTGCTGCTCCGGCGCGTGCTGCTGCTGCAGATTGCTGCTGGCCTGCAAACAGTGGGATTCTGATGCTCCCCCCCACACCACCACCACCTCCGCGCCCTCGCTCCGCCCCCCCACCTCTCGCCCCTTCCCTGTTGGCCACACTCAGTGGCTGTGCCTGCAGGTGCATCTGCTGCAGCAACGGCAGTTGCTGGGGAAGGGAAGGCACAGTGGGGAAAGAGATGGGAGCAGATAGAGAAAGAGAGAGGAAGGAAGGTGAGAGCAGATGGAAGGCGATTGAGAGAAGTGAGGTGGCAGGTGAGGTGAGAGACGAAGTGGCACGGAATGCATTGGCAGGTTGTCGAGAAGGGTCGATGCAGAACACATAGCAGCCAACCAGAAAAAACAACCCCTTTTGAGAATTCTCAAAAACAACCCCTGCCTCCAGCCCCCTTTACCCCCCCAACACCACCGTGCCCTTCCTCCCCACAATCCAGAACCCAGGACCCAAGTGAGCGCACATGAGTGAAGAGAGCGCTGGGGCCTCTGGCAGTGATGAAGACTGGTGGCACAGGAGACAGGCGCGGGCCGTGCTGCTGCCCACTGCTCCCAGCAGCAGCAGCAGCAGCAGCAGCTGTGACCCCAGCACCAGCACCAGCAGTGGCACCAGCAGTGGCACCAGCAGTGGCACCAGCAGTGGTACCAGAGGCAGGAGTAACACCAGCAGCGGGCGCAGAAGCAGAGGCAGGAGGGGGGCGAGCAGGGGCGGGCCAGTGCAGGGCGCGGCAGAGGTGGGAGAGTTCGAGCAGCAAGGGCGCCATGAGGGTCACACACCGCACTGTGCCCTCCACCGCCTCTCTCATCGCTGCCTCTGCTGCCGCCGCTGCTGTTTCTGCAGCAGCTGGTTCTCCTGCCTCTCCTCCTGCTTCTGTTCGTGCCCTTGCTGCTCCTCCTCCTGCTGCTCCTTCGGCTGCTCCTCCGACTGCTCCTCCGGCTGCTCCTTGGGCTGCTGCACCTGTTGCTCCTGAGTCAGGTACAGCAGCAGCACCACCAGACGGCAAGTGCTCTAGCTGATCCGCAAGGTTCTGCTCCACCAGCACAGGGCATGGGACGGACGGGGGAGCGTGGGAGGGACGGGGGAGCGAGGGGAGAAAGAACCAAGAGGGAATCACAGGCAGAGTGTGCTTGAAGCATGGAAGCGGCACACGGGATGCCTGCCTGGGCAGATGGACTGCTACTTAACTCAAGTGACGATCAGGGTAGCATAAAGCAGACACAATGAAGCCCGAAATCAGAAGAGCGCGAGGGAAGGGCAGGAACGGACGAGAAGGGAGGAGGAGAGGGGACCGGCGAGGAGGCTGTTGGAGCGCCTGAGGGCGGCCGCCAGGCGCTGCAGCTGCGGCAGCTCCCTCCATGCTGCCGCTGCTGCTGCAGTTGCTGCTGGGTCCACTGGGATGGCAGGGAAGCAGAAGAAGCATAGTTGCAAGAGCAAGGGAAAGAAGGTCGGCCTCAAGCCTTTAATCACTTTTTAGGCCCCTGACAAGACAATCCAGGCTTGACAAGACAATCCAGGCTTGACAAGACAATCCAGGCTTGACAACACAATCCAGGCTTGACAAGACAATCCAGGCTTGACAACACAATCCAGGCTTGACAACACAATCCAGGCTTGACAACACAATCCAGGCTTGACAACACAATCCAGGCTTGACAACACAATCCAGGCTTGACAACACAATCCAGGCTTGACAACACAATCCAGGCTTGACAACACAATCCAGGCTTGACAACACAATCCAGGCTTGACAACACAATCCAGGCTAGACAATCCAGGCTTGACAACACAATCCAGGCTTGACAACACAATCCAGGCGTGAACCCCTCAAGTGCAGAGCAGTGCCAGAGCTGAAGTCCCCAAGCAACCCATGAAAGGTATGAATGAGGATGTTCCCTGGAGTTACTTGAGAGGCACCCATGTGCTGTGCTCTTCTCACCTGACGGCCTCAGCTGACTCTCCACGCGTGAGATATACTCGTCCACAGTGGAAAGCGCGTCCCTTCGCCCTGCGATCCTCGACCCTTGCTGCTGCTGCTGCTGCTGCGGGTGCCTAACACCCCCCTCCTCCTGCTCCTCCCCATGCTGCCCCATCCCCCCCCGTCCCATGCCGCCAAGAGCCATCATGAGAGGCAGGCCAGCAACACCCATGCTGCCGCCCACAGGGATGGGGAGGCCGCCCAGAGGAATGCCCACTGGCACAGCCATGGCTGCTGGTGCTGCCGTGCCCATTACTGATGGCATGCCCATGCCTGCTCCCATGCCTGCTCCCATGCCTGCTCCCATGCCTGCTCCCATGCCTGTTCGCACACCTCCCATGCCTCCCATGCCCGTTCCTCCCATACCCATGCCTGGCCCTGCCATGCCTACGGGCATGTCAAAGCCACTCACAGGCAGCCACGTGTCCATGTGGATCTGCACCTCTGGCACCCCGCCCCCTCTACCCTCTGCCCCTTCCACTCCCTCACTCCGTTCCCCGGATTCACCCTCCCTTCGTTCCATCCCTGCTCTCTGCTCCCCTGCTTGCTCTTGTTCCGCGCTTCCTCCTTCATCCCTGCCTGCACCTCCACCCGCAGCAGAAGTAGCAGCAGCAGCATCGGTGGTGTGAGCGTTATGGGCTGCATTACCGTCCGCAGCAGGGGAGGGGCGTCTGAGCGCCTGAGCGGCTCTCATCTGGGGGGGCACATGGCACATGGCACATGGCACATGGCACATGGCACAACGCAAGGTGAATGAGCGACAGACAGCAGTGGAGAAGAGAGCGCAAAGGAGAGGCAGACTTGAGCTAAGCTCAGCTGTCAGTCAGCTCAACACGGTTTCAATGAGATGGTAGTACTTGGAGAACGAGGTAACTTTTGAGTCGACTCAAAAGTCAGTCAGCTAAACACGGTTTCAATGAGATGGTACTTGGAGAACGCGTGTTGGCATGGAGACTTGAAATGAAACACGGCGTACCGAGATGGGTGCGATGTCTATTGTGACATTCGCAGTGGGTCCTGCTGCCTCGCTTCCACCCCCTACCACTTGCACACTCCCTGCTCCCCCTCCCCCCATGCCTCCCCCCATGCCTCCCCCCATGCCTCCCCCCATGCCTCCCCCCATGCCTCCCCCCATGCCTCCGCCCATGCCTCCGCCCATGCCTCCGCCCATGCCTCCGCCCATGCCTCCGCCCATGCCTCCCCCCATGCCCCCCAGCCCCACGGCTCCAAGGCCAATGGATGAAAGCACACCTGACACGATCTGATGGGCGCAGGGGCGAAATGGGAATGCGGAGAGGGAGGGTGGAGTGGAGGGGGAGGGTGGAGTGGAGAGTGCGGGTGGAGGGGCCGGGTCTCGGATGAAGTGAATTAGACACTGAAATGAGAAGGGTTGAATAGAGAGGGGAGGGGCGTGGGGAAAAAATGATACTAGAGCAAATGATACAAGAATGATGGGAGGGAAGTGGAGCGGATGATACAAGAGGGGAGGGAACAAGAAGGGGAGTGGAATAAAGAATGGAAGGAAGATGCGGAGGTAGAATGTGGGAGATTGATTGGAGGAAAAGATGGGGCAGCGATGATCAACAAGTCGTCATGGGAGTGTGACGCGTGGCTGCACCCACCACACCCATCCACCCACCCATCCACCCATCCACCCATCCACCCATCCACCCATCCACCCATCCACCCATCCACCCATCCACCCATCCACCCATCCACCCATCCAGCAGCCCACCCATCCACCCACCCATCCACCCGTCCACCAGCCCACCCATCCACCCACCCATCCACCCATCCACCAGCCCACCCAGCCACCCACCCATCCCCGCCCTCCCACCCAGCCACCCACCCGCCCACCCACACACACATACCTGGTTCAGGTCCGGAAGGCCCTGAGAGCCGTCCGATGGGAGGTTAAACGTGCCCAGATGAACGGTTCCAGAGGCAGGCAGGCCGCCGATCTGCACGTGACCCAAGCCTCCCCCAAACGCTCCCCCCGGAACAATCCGTATCCCTCCCATACCGCCACCGCTGCCCCTCTCTCCCCCTGCGCCGCCCCTCCCCTGTCCTCCGCGCAAAATCCTTGCCCTTCCGCGGGTCACCTCCCCCTCCGCGCCCCCGCGCGCGCCATGCGCGGAAGAAGGGGAGGAGTCCCCCGTGAGGCGCGAGACTAAGTGCACCACATGGCCCGCGCTGATGCCTGGGAGACGAAAAGCGGAAGGAGCGGCGAAAGGGGAGATGAGGGAATACGGGAAGGGGAACAAGCGAACCGAGTTGAATGAGACCCAGGGGGAGGGGTGGCAATCTAATGTGCACCATGCCTCGCACAGAAACACGACCGTTCTAGCCAGCAGCAAGCATGACAGGAAAGAAGGAACGAGGATAGATCCCGGGAATGGTGTGCTCACGGAAAGAGAATCGAGGTGAAGGGGGATAAGATAGAGAATCCGGGGTGAAAAACGGGGTAAAACGAGAGATTCCGAAATTAAGAGGTGGCGGGGTGGGGGGGGGAGGGGGGGGGGGGGGGGGGGGGGTAGGACGAGAGAAAGCGAGTTGAAGGTGGTAAGACGAGAGAAAACGAGGTGAAGGGGAATTAAGTAAGACGAGAGAAGCGAGGTGAAGGGGGGTGAGTAAGACGAGAGAATCCAGGGTGAAGGGGGGTAAGACGAACCGTAGGATGCGAGGGTCTGATCGTCCTTGAGAACCTTCCCCCGGAAGACCAATCGCTGGCTGCCAGCTGGAACCTGCACCTGCGTGGAAATCTTCTCCTTCAACGCGCTCACGAGCAGCTGCGGGGCGCGCGGAGAGCGAGACACGAGGCGAAGGGGGGGGGGGGGGGGAGAGCGGCGGGGAGAGGAGAGAGAACGGAGGGGACAGGAGGGAGACAAGGCTCGACTTGAGGATGGAACCATGCACAGACACATCAAAGCACAGACACATCAAAGAAACCTATGAGGGGCTGTCGAGAGCGAAGGGAAGCTCAAGGAGTGAGAAACGCGAAGCGGCGAAGGGTGCACGAGCAGCAGCGACAAGAAAATGAATCAAACATGTCTGCAGCGCTACCAGCTGGTAAGGAATCGACTAAGGCACTGTGGTGCAACCGAGAGATGCTTGAGTCGCTTTTGAGAATTCTCAAAAGCGATTAAGGCACTGTGGTGCAACCGATAGATGCTTAAGAAGCATAACGTTGACTGAAACTGAACTTCTCACGTCTCACAAATGAAGAAATCAACGACGACCTATCAACGGTCTTGGAACTCGGCGTAAAGGTTTGCCACCGTCCAACGCTCTAGGTCGTGACCGGGTGGATCGCAGACAGAGACAAGTGCGGATCGGAGGCTCAAGAAATCAATCCCTTATGATGCTCCTAGAATCCAGATAGAGCGATGAATTACCCTACACTAGCACGCAACGCGACGATCACCCTACGCTAGGACGCGCCGCGACGATCACCCTACGCTAGCACGCACCGCGAGGTCCACGCGGACATCGTAAGCCCGGTTATCGAGTGTCTTGATCGTTATTCCGACTTCGCTCCGATTTGCGCCGTCAAGGGGAGGCGAATCCACATCCATGGTGAGCGGGATTTAACAAAGAAACCCTGATCGCGAAAAGAACAACAGTAAGACGTTAATATGGGATGTCAGTCCTGTTGCTGAATTCAGGGCTCAAGGCTTTGGTTTGGAAACGAGGAAAACTGTCTTTGCAACAAAATCTTGCGTATTTGCACCGCTCAGAACCGCTTAAGCGCGGTGCAACTTCTAGGGAAGCAGACCAGGAAAAGCAGAACCAATCGATGCGTTGACGCGGGTGACCATTGGCATGAAGAGCCAACACGACCGCCACGTGTACGAGCGGCGGCACCCTCACGAAATATTCAACTCGGAGTTACAGTGTTACATGTTAGCATTCGCTCATGTGGTCCTAAATTTCTAACAGCAGAATCACTTCCCTCTTGCAGGTACTGTAAACCTGGCTAAAAAAGAAGAAAAAACATTAAGCAGCAGGTTTACAGAATCTTGTTTCTTATGTCCTCTAGCTTCTTGAGAATCTCTCCTGGTGTGCGATCAAGCTCTTCCGCAATCTTCTTTTGCAGCTCCAGCGAAAGCGACGGGAATTGCTCGCACAAGTCTCCATCAATCACATCCTGGGATGAAGGCGAATATCAGAACACACAAGCAGCGTGGAGAAAAATGGGCCTATTTTTTTCTTCCTTTTCTTGGTGGGTGGGGGGAAAAATTCAGGTTACATGGCAAAAGGAAGGCTAAGTCAACAAAACGAGACAGCAAGTTCACCAAAGAAGCAGGGCTGACCTTGACAGGGAAGTAGGCGGATCGGTAGGCGACGTGCTCGCGGCCGGCGAGGGGAGGGTGCTCCTGGCGCAGGTGCATCTCGAGGTGCGAGAAGAAATCCACGTCCTCCCGTGAGACAAAGGGCAGCAGCGCCCCCACCGACCCCAGCATCGTGCTGTAGATTATGCACTCGCTGCCGCCTGGGGAGGAGAGAGGGGGAGAGAGGAAGACAGGCAGGAAAAGCAGGATGGGACGGACACAAGGTGGTGTTGCGGGGAAAGCGGGAAGTGAGAAGCAATTCAGGTTGGCACAACAAACAGAATGATGAACACCCGAAGGTAAGCACAACACGAAAGGACAGCTAGTTTGAAGGTCAGGCCGTGCAGTGGTCACCTGGAATGAGGGAGGTCTTCTGCATGGCTGTCACGATGTCCCCCACGTGGAACTGAATCACCTGGTGGGCGTTGGCGTTGGGGCGCCAGGCGAGAGTTGGAAGGAGGGAATGCGCACGTGAGGGTGAGGGTAGAGATGCGTCACGACAGACAGGGAACGCACAGCACAAGACAGCAGAGCAGCACAGGACAGCAGAGCAGCACAGGACAGCAGAGCAGCACAGGACAGCAGAGCAGCACAGGACAGCAGAGCACCACAGGACAGCAGAGCACCACAGGACAGCAGAGCACCACAGGACAGCAGAGCAGCACAGGACAGCAGAGCAGCACAGGACAGCAGAGCAGCACAGGACAGCAGAGCAGCACAGGACAGCAGAGCAGCACAGGACAGCAGAGCAGCACAGGACAGCAGAGCAGCACAGGACAGCAGAGCAGCACAGGACAGCAGAGCAGCACAGGACAGCAGAGCAGCACAGGACAGCAGAGCAGCACAGGACAGCAGAGCAGCACAGGACAGCAGAGCAGCACAGGACAGCAGAGCAGCACAGGACAGCAGAGCAGCACAGGACAGCAGAGCAGCACAGGACAGCAGAGCAGCACAGGACAGCAGAGCAGCACAGGACAGCAGAGCACCACAGGACAGCAGAGCACCACAGGACAGCAGAGCACCACAGGACAGCAGAGCACCACAGGACAGCAGAGCACCACAGGACAGCAGAGCACCACAGGACAGCAGAGCACCACAGGACAGCAGAGCACCACAGGACAGCAGAGCACCACAGGACAGCAGAGCACCACAGGACAGCAGAGCACCACAGGACAGCAGAGCACCACAGGACAGCAGAGCACCACAGGACAGCAGAGCACCACAGGACAGCAGAGCACCACAGGACAGCAGAGCACCACAGGACAGCAGAGCACCACAGGACAGCAGAGCACCACAGGACAGCAGAGCACCACAGGACAGCAGAGCACCACAGGACAGCAGAGCACCACAGGACAGCAGAGCACCACAGGACAGCAGAGCACCACAGGACAGCAGAGCACCACAGGACAGCAGAGCACCACAGGACAGCAGAGCACCACAGGACAGCAGAGCACCACAGGACAGCAGAGCACCACAGGACAGCAGAGCACCACAGGACAGCAGAGCACCACAGGACAGCAGAGCACCACAGGACAGCAGAGCACCACAGGACAGCAGAGCACCACAGGACAGCAGAGCACCACAGGACAGCAGAGCACCACAGGACAGCAGAGCACCACAGGACAGCAGAGCACCACAGGACAGCAGAGCACCACAGGACAGCAGAGCACCACAGGACAGCAGAGCACCACAGGACAGCAGAGCACCACAGGACAGCAGAGCACCACAGGACAGCAGAGCACCACAGGACAGCAGAGCACCACAGGACAGCAGAGCACCACAGGACAGCAGAGCACCACAGGACAGCAGAGCACCACAGGACAGCAGAGCAGCACAGGACAGCAGAGCAGCACAGGACAGCAGAGCAGCACAGGACAGCAGAGCAGCACAGGACAGCAGAGCAGCACAGGACAGCAGAGCAGCACAGGACAGCAGAGCAGCACAGGACAGCAGAGCAGCACAGGACAGCAGAGCAGCACAGGACAGCAGAGCAGCACAGGACAGCAGAGCAGCACAGGACAGCAGAGCAGCACAGGACAGCAGAGCAGCACAGGACAGCAGAGCACCACAGGACAGCAGAGCACCACAGGACAGCAGAGCACCACAGGACAGCAGAGCACCACAGGACAGCAGAGCACCACAGGACAGCAGAGCACCACAGGACAGCAGAGCACCACAGGACAGCAGAGCACCACAGGACAGCAGAGCACCACAGGACAGCAGAGCACCACAGGACAGCAGAGCACCACAGGACAGCAGAGCACCACAGGACAGCAGAGCACCACAGGACAGCAGAGCACCACAGGACAGCAGAGCACCACAGGACAGCAGAGCACCACAGGACAGCAGAGCACCACAGGACAGCAGAGCACCACAGGACAGCAGAGCACCACAGGACAGCAGAGCACCACAGGACAGCAGAGCACCACAGGACAGCAGAGCACCACAGGACAGCAGAGCACCACAGGACAGCAGAGCACCACAGGACAGCAGAGCACCACAGGACAGCAGAGCACCACAGGACAGCAGAGCACCACAGGACAGCAGAGCACCACAGGACAGCAGAGCACCACAGGACAGCAGAGCACCACAGGACAGCAGAGCACCACAGGACAGCAGAGCACCACAGGACAGCAGAGCACCACAGGACAGCAGAGCACCACAGGACAGCAGAGCACCACAGGACAGCAGAGCACCACAGGACAGCAGAGCACCACAGGACAGCAGAGCACCACAGGACAGCAGAGCACCACAGGACAGCAGAGCACCACAGGACAGCAGAGCACCACAGGACAGCAGAGCACCACAGGACAGCAGAGCACCACAGGACAGCAGAGCACCACAGGACAGCAGAGCACCACAGGACAGCAGAGCACCACAGGACAGCAGAGCAGCACAGGACAGCAGAGCAGCACAGGACAGCAGAGCAGCACAGGACAGCAGAGCACCACAGGACAGCAGAGCAGCACAGGACAGCAGAGCACCACAGGACAGCAGAGCACCACAGGACAGCAGAGCACCACAGGACAGCAGAGCACCACAGGACAGCAGAGCACCACAGGACAGCAGAGCAGCACAGGACAGCAGAGCACCACAGGACAGCAGAGCAGCACAGGACAGCAGAGCACCACAGGACAGCAGAGCACCACAGGACAGCAGAGCAGCACAGGCCAGCAGAGCACCACAGGACAGCAGAGCAGCACAGGACAGCAGAGCACCACAGGACAGCAGAGCATCGAGACATGCAGAAAGGAAGGCAGTCAGTCAGGGGCGAACGCAACGGCAGCACAAGACGGTGGCCCGACACCCCACCTGCTCGAGCTTGTTTGGTGCTCCGTTCAGTCGTCCCCCTCCCACGGCGTCCCACTTGACCCGCCCGCCAGTCTGATCCTCCTCAATCTCTTCAGAAATCTCCCCTGGCAGCCGCACCAGACACACGTTGCCAAACTTGTCCCCGCCCGCCATCGTGTCAAAGTCGACGCGCAGCGCCGAGGTCAGCCAGCGCGGGGTGACGTCGTCGGCAAAGACGTACAGCTGGTTCTCCTGCCGGCTGTGCTGCACGTAGTGGAATGACTGAGGGGTGGAGTGAGGTGGGAGTGGGTGGGATATTGGGGGTAGGGGTTAGGGTGGAGGTGGGTAATAACAGGTTTCAAGGGGTGACGTCGTCCGTGAACAAGTACAGCTGGTTCTCCTGCCGGCTGTGCTGCACGTAGTGGAACGACTAGGGGGTGGGGGGAAAGAGGGCGGTGGAGAGAGAGGGAGGAGAGTGGGGGTCAGGATGGTAGTGGGGGAGTTTTCACTCACGAATCACACATTCACTAGTAGCACAACTCTCACACCGACCCAACTCCTGAATCGCCTCTCCTTCCCCCCGCATTGGCTCACCTCCTGCACGTCGCCCACGTAGATGCGATCGCCACACGCATGGATGCTCACGATCGCATGCGGGAACTGCTTGTTCTCGCACTTCCTCAGAAGCTTCTTCTTCCCAAGATCATATATCCTCAGCACGTTCCCAACCCCCACCAGCAGCCTCCCATGAAACGCACACAGGGCCGTGGGCACCCCCCCTTCCACCGCCGTCTTATGCACCAACTCCAGCTCCCTCCCGTCTTCCCCCTTGAACTTATACACATGGAGGAACCCTCCCAGAAGGTTCCTCTTGGGCCAGAACTGCAGGGATTTCGCCGTGCCGACAACCAGGTACTGCCCCGCTGCGGCCCCGCCCTCGGTTTTATCCGCGTGGAAGTTGACGGTGCAGAGCGAGAAGGCGGCTTCGCTGTCTGTGAGCTCCATGAGGCACGTCGTCTCGCCTGCCTTGGGGTTGATCACCCGGATGCACGACGCCCATTTCGATGGGACCGTTTTCGGGTACCCGAATTGCTCGTCCGGTAGCGGATCTTTGGCCTTCTCGTCCTCCTCCTCTTCCTCCTCCTCCTCCTCCTCCATCCCCTCCTCCCCATCCTCCCCTCGGGCTCCTCTCGCTGCCCGTGCCGCCTCCTTCCTCTCCCTTCTCTCCTCCTCCATCCGCTCCGCAGCCCCGGTCACTTCAATCGCTTCCTTCCTCAGCTCCTCCCTCTCTTCCGCCGAAAACGCGCCCTGGTCGCTCTCTATAGTCACGATGTTCTTATAACGCGGATGCAGCACAGCCTTGCGCGGGGTGTACCTTAGCGGAATCACCGTCTGATTAAAGACCTCTCCAAGCCTCTCCACCGTGAACACTCGCAGCGTTTCCCCCGCCACCGCCACAATACCCTCTGGGCACTGGTCTGACGCAAACGGAGCAGCATACTCTAGAGCCTCATAGGACAGGGGCGTCAAATGGAAGCTTCCCAGAAGGGAGTACCCGAGCCAGGGGCGGCTGGAGAGACACAGCATGGCGCGCCGCTCCCTCAGCTGGGCACCGAAAAGTTTCGGCGCGCGCAGCCCGAGGAAGCGCGTGCGCGAATCAGAGAGCTGCCCGGAATTCTTATCCACTTCAGTACGGAGCAGCACACCGTTCTGCAGGCCAGCGTTGAGGAAGAGGCTGGACGGCACGTGGGCGGCAGCAGCGGAGGAGGAGGCGGCAGCGGTGGAGGCAGGGCCGTCTGTGCCGGGCCCGGTGGGGACGTCGAGGAAGAGGAGAGACTCCGGTGGGGCTGACACTGCCTGCACGCTCAGCACCTGCTTGAGGGACGGACGGGGGGAGGGAAATGGGGGCAAGGCATTGGGCAATGCAAGGAGGGGCCGTCTGTGCCGGGCCCTGTGGGGACGTCGAGGAAGAGCAGTGTCTCTGGTGGGGCTGACAAGGGCTGCACGCTCAGCACCTGATGAGAGATGGGTGGAGGGCGGGCGATGCGGGGGGGGTGATGCGTGGAGGGAGAGCGGGAGATGAGGAGAGCGGGAGATGAGGAGAGCGGACGATGGAACCCCAAAAACCATACCCTCACACTCTGCACCAACTCTTCCCCCCCCCCCCCCCCCCTTCTCCCCCACCTTCCCCTCTCCTCTTCCCCACCTGCTCGTGTTTTATCCCCCCACCACCGGGAAGTATGGCACCTGCATGCCCTAAAGCCCCATAGCCCCAACCCCAAAAACCCCCAAACCTCAAAACCCCCAAACCTCAGAACCCCCAAACCCCCCAATCCAAACCCCCGAAATTTACACCCAGAGCTTTCCTTCCCCACCTGCATGTTCTCATCAGGGTCCAGCGAGAGAATCCGAACCGTCGAGTCATACGATCCGACGGCCAGAAAGCGCGCCCTCTGGCGGCCCTCGGGGATGGGGGCGACGTCAAGGCAGGCGACGTCCCCCGGCATATCCTTCTTGCCCATCTCCACCATCTGCCCCCTCACGTCCATCTCGAAATGCACTAGCTCGCCTCCTGAAAGGGCGATCACGACCTGGGGGAATAGGGGAGGGGACGGGGAGAGGGAAGGCATGCAGTGATCAAGCGAAAAGAAGACGCCAGACGTTATCACCTTGGAGGTGTTACAGCCGACTGCAAATTACTAGGCGGCAACAGCAGGCGACTGTGGCTGACCTGGAAGCGATTGCAGCCAACTTTGACGATGCTCTTCTTGCCGGGCGTCTTCCACTCGTTGATGCGCCCGTCCGCCCTGATGTGCCGAATGCCACTCGGATGCACCTGTGATGTGATGGGATGGCGTACACAGCAGCAGAAAGGGACGTGGAGACATGCACATAGGCATGCATATACATAGGCCCACATGCATTAAGTACCCTCCCACAGCAACACAAACACCTTGCTTCCCTTCCTCACCCCATCCCAACCCCCGCTCCCTCCATTGATACAATGCGCCCTGGCCCCCACTGCACTGACCTGCATGAGCGAGTCCTCGCCCAGGAGGGAAACGGCGAGTGACGGAGTCGTGTCCAGGAATCCACTGTCACTAACTTCCTCCACGGTGTCGCCAATGCTGAGCACGAGCGTGGCGTTGACGAACGACACCACGATGTACGCGTCGAACTCGTCCTGCGCGCTCTTGCGCACCGTCCACACCGCGCTCGGCACGCCTGGTAACTGCGTTACCGCCATCTCCGTCACGGCGAGCCCCGGGCGGAGGATGCGCAGGGAGGAGCGCGGGCCGCGGCCGCACAGCGCGAAGACCTGCGGGGTCTCCTCGTCGAAGAGGTTGGATACCTTGAGGTCGAGCAGCGGCATTAATGATTCCACCTCGTCAATCTGCAGTGAGAGAAGGGGAGGAGGGAGAGAGGGGCGGGGGGACAATGTAGGGGCTTATTGAGGGGTGAAGACCTGCGGGGTTTCCTCATCAAAGAGGTTGGATACTTTGAGGTCGCGCAGCGGCATCAGCGACTCCACCTCGTCGATCTGGGGTGAGAGAGTGAAGGGGAGGAGGGAGAATGCGGGGGCTCAGTGAGGGACAAGTACCGTTAGTATGCCCACCTGGAACACAATTCACTTCTGTCCTTCCCCTCAAAACCCAACCCAAAATCCCACACACTGCCCTTTAACTTGCCAAAAAGAAGCAGAAAACAAAAGCCACATAAAGTGCAACCCTGAACGAGTTGAGCCACTGACCTGCACCAGGTTCTTGAGGCGGCGCGGGTGGAAGAAGACGGGCTGAAACCCTTCATCTGTCTCCATGAGAGTGGCGGAGCTCGACTCCACCTCCTCGTCGTCCCCGATGCCCTGGAACCGGTACAGCGCGTGGTTGCCGAACTCAGATGCCGCGAACAGGAACCCCGCGCGCAGCACGCACAGCCCAGCGCCCACCGGGATCGTGTCGAAGTACTTAATCTTCAGCTCCGTCACGCGGTCCGTGTCCTTGGGGTCGTGCTCTAGGGTAACCCTAAAGACGTCGCCGTATTCGGTCTGCAGGAGGAAGAAGTACATCGACTTCTGCTTGTGCGTCGCGGCAGCGACGATCAGCACGCCGCGCTCCGCGGGGAGGTCGGCGCGGCGCGGAATGACGGCGCGCACATCCGGGTGGCCCTGGTTCTTGTAAATCACGAAATTCTCCGCGCATACCAGCACGCCCGACGGCCCGTCCGCACCGCCGGGGACGGCGACGAGGAGGTTCGCGCCGTTGTCGACGGGCTCGGCCCATTTCCGCACAACGTGATTCAGACCCAGATCGAGCTCGTAGAATGTCAGCTGCTTCTGCGCGTCGGCTGCTGCTTGGCCCGACGGGTCCTGATCCGCGTCGGCGTAATCGAGTTCTATGGCGGCGAAAATGGGGTTGTCGAATCCGCAGTCGACGCCGACCACGGAGAAGACTAGGGTTTGCGACTTGTGAGCTTCTAACGGGGATGAGATTGTGAGGCGCGCCGAGCTGTCGCGGTTCAGAACGTAAACAAATTTCTGCTTCTCGCAGGCTGCGATCATGACCGCTCGACCTTTCGGATCCACGGCCAGGAATTGGCCAGGGACGATCCGGCGACATCCCGACTTGCCATAGGTCTCCTGGTGTATTTTATCGAAGAGATTCTTCTCCCGGTTATACTCCAGAATAACGATTCGGCCAGAATCGGATCCCACGACAATAAGGTCCTTAGAGGAGCCGGTGAGGCGGAATTGGACGAGCGAACGAATCTCGCCGAAGACTTCTACCGCGTACAGGCTCTGCAACTTTCCCGCGGCATCTGGCCGTAATAGCTCGAGAATCTTCCCTCTCGCGACCACTATTTCCTGCTCCTTCGTCCCTGAGAAGTTGCCGAAAATGACGTGGCTGATGCCCGTCGCCCGCTGAAGCGTAAGATTGTAGAGATACATGGCTTCTACGGACTAGGGACATGGGACGAAAGACGGGAAATGCGGTCCCAAAATGAAAAATAGCTGCCTTTCAGTGAGGTGCAATAGTTGCTAAACTGGTCTGAAATAATTTAGTCTTATCTCTTTCGTAACCGCGTAGCGCAGTGGATTAGCGCGTTGGACTTCGGATCCAAAGGTCGCGGGTTCGATCCCCGTCGTGGTTGGAGATTTTCTCCCAGCACAACGCTCTCGAGATTCCATACAGAACTTCCCTCGAGATTGGATTGTTTTTCCGCCTGTTCCATCCAATCACGGCACGCTTTCTTGAATTCCACCAACTTCCCAACACTCCTCAAGAATCCGTGTCTTTGTTCGTTGTTTCTTGGGATCACCTCCCGTTCTCTTGGGAACATCTTCAGTTGCTCGTCTCTAGTCCGCCTCGTCGTGGTTGCCAGCGGTGTCGGCCTGCCTTGCAAGGCTGGCCGTGCTTGACGCGCGGCATGAGTCTCGTCAGAATGCCACCTACTCGAGGTACGTAGGTTTCTTGCAGAAAAACTTACGTACTACGCGTCCGATAAGGCACGCTGTAGCGTTGCACAGTAGTGATCAAGACCATCGTGGCCGTTGATTTCATATTCGTGGATTTCATGAAATGTGGTAGCGATCGCAGCAATGTAGCCACGAAGTCATCTCATCCGTGTAGCGATCTGCCTTACTCTCGGATCTTCCACACCTGGTGACCTATGTCCGATCGAGTTCAATCCAACCATTCATTCCCGTCCTGATGGATTCTTTCTCAGATGAGCTCGATGGGGAGGACGAGACGCTAGGGCTGCGATCCGGTCAGGTGAGTCGCGCATTCGCTCAGGTAAGTCGCGCATCCGCTCAAGTGAGTCGCTCATCCGCTCCCGTCAGTCAGCGCACTATTACCTCGAAGCTTCCATCTTCGAGTTGCATATGCTTCGACCCTGCTAGCATTCTTCAATCGCCCGTACGCAAGTACCAACGAACCTTTTCTCTCGTCGCGCTCTCTTTCTCCAGCCGACCGATCAGCGCGGGCCGCTGTGCTCGTACGTGGCGGCGACGGCGCTGCTGCTGCTGGGGTGCGGGGTTGGGCTCGGCATCAGCGCGCTGCTCTCGCTGCTCTTCCCCGCCACCTCCCTCCGCTTCATCTCCACCAACGCGCCCCCTGACGCGCTCGCGGAAGCTCAGTCGCAACTGTCGTTCCTGGTGGTGGGCGACTGGGGTCGCAACGGCGACTACAACCAGTCCATCGTCGCGGAATCGGTATGTACATGCACCCAGCAACTCCATTGTCGCGGAATTGATTTGTGAAGTTAAGCGGCGAACAATTATAACGTTATGGCAATGGTGAGCGCACACAACCAGTCCGTGCTCGCGGGATTGATATGTGATGCTGCTAGGCGGCTGCTTCGATTGTGGTAAATATGAGGGACAACTGTGATGACTGACGCTTTTGAGAATTCTCACATGCCAGGATGACCAAATGTAGGATACGGCTCATGTCAAGCTGGTCGTGACTTATCGTGCATTCTCTCTCCTGACCGTGCATCAGATGGGTGAGGTGGCGGCAGCCATGGACAGCAGCTTCGTGGTGTCCACAAGGGACAACTTCTACGATGATGGGCTGCAGGACATCACTCATTGTAACTTGTGACCTCCTGTTGTCTTTCCGTGCCTCTCAGATGGGTGAGGTGGCGGCTGCCATTGACAGCAGCTTCGTGGTGTCCACGGGGGACAACTTCTACGATGATGGGCTGCAGGACGTCACTCATTGTAACTTGTGACCTGCTGTTGTCTTTCCGTGCCTCTCAGATGGGTGAGGTGGCGGCGGCCATTGACAGCAGCTTCGTGGTGTCCACGGGGGACAACTTCTATGATGATGGGCTGCAAAACATCACTCATTGTAACTTGTGACCTGCTGTTGTCTTTCCGTGCCTCTCAGATGGGTGAGGTGGCGGCTGCCATTGACAGCAGCTTCGTGGTGTCCACGGGGGACAACTTTTACGATGATGGGCTGCAGGACGTCAACGACCCCACTTTCGCCTCCTCCTTCTCCGAGATCTACCAGGCGCCCAGCCTGCAGACGCAGTGGTACGCAGGTACGTGACAACAATGCAGACGCTTTGATCTGCAGGTACGGCCGCCAATGCTCTCGCTCTAATGCCGCTGTCAGTTCTGGGCAATCACATCTATCACCTCACCCCGAGATGTCAGCAGCCAGGCAATCACTTCTGCGACCCCCCACCTTCCTCCCTTCCCCTCCCACCCTGTTCCCACTTTCTCCTCCGCCACTGCTGCGCTGGCGGTACTGGGCTACCATGATCACCACCGCAACCCCGAGGCCAAAAGTTAGGCACTCACATCCCACCCTCCCCATTTCGCCCCGCAATCGTCCCCCCCATTCCCCCGTGTTCCTGCCACCGGCAGTGCTGGGCAACCACGACTACCACCGCAATCCCGACGCGGAGACGGACCCGGCGCTGAGGCAGAGGGACCCGCGGTGGCGCTGCGAGAAGACCTACACTGTTGTGCGCGACACCTGCCCCAAGTTCCGCTACTGTGAGTCCGCCCTGCCTGCCCCAAGTTCCGCTACTGTGAGCTGCTCAAGGGTTGTGGTGCTGCAATGCACCGATGCTGTGCGATAGACCAGGCTCAGCAGATTTGAAAATTGTCGTCTGCTGCTCATGTAAGCCTTCATCTGCCACTTTTCCATCCTCATATCTTTTTTCTAGTCACCTGCATCTCCTTCTCTTCACGTATCTATTCCCCCTTCTCCTCCCCCAACCCCAACGGACCTTCCAGCCGTGTGCAACCCTCTGCTGCAGCTATTCTTTATCGACACATCCCCACTGGTGGCGGGCTACTGGCACGGCAAGCCACACGAGTTTGAGAAGCTCAACTTCACGGGCCTCCCAGACTCCTCCCTCACGCTGCACTACCAGCTCACGGTGACTCTGCCTCCTCCTCTCCTTGCTTGCCTGCGCCCATCTTTAATCATCTCATTTCCCACCCTCTCCTTGGTCCTCCTGCATGTTCTGTGTGTATGTGTCACGGCGTCTTTGTTCCCTCACTCATCGATCCTGCCTGCTCCTGCTCACCCATCCCCACGGCCTTACGCATGCCTGTCTCTCCCCTCCACCATTCCCCCCGCTCCTCCGTCCATCCTCAGATGCTGCGTGCAGCGCTTGCATCATCAACTGCCACGTGGAAGGTGGTGGTTGGCCATCATCCCATCCACAGCACTGGCAGCCATGGCAACACGCCTGAGCTGATCAAGTTCCTCTACCCGCTGCTCAAGGTGCATCCGTCTCCTTTCTTCAACCTCCTCTAACCCCTGCTCAAAGCCTCTCCTGTTTGTCCCTCTGTGTGCCTTTCTCGATGGTAGGAGGCTACAGGCAATGCTCTTGCTCTTGCTGCCTTGTGCCCACCTCCAGAAGGAATACACCTCATTCTCTATCTCTCGTCATTTTTCTCCTCGTGCAACTCATTCTCCATGCCTCTCTGCGTGCTCACGTGCACTGCCTGTGTGTTTGTCAATTTCCTGAAGCCACTTGCACTTACCTATGCGCCTTTTGCAGTTCTCTCTGTGCTCCCCTGCATTCCTGCGGTGTGCTCATGACTGTGTGTTTGCTGTATCTTCTTTGATATCTCACTCTCTGCTCGCTGTGTGTTCTCTCTGTGTCTGCTGTTTCTGCACTGTCTGCAGCGCTACAATGTGGACTTCTACATGAATGGCCATGACCACAATCTAGAGCTATACAAGGATGCCAACAGGTACATTGTCTCATGTCATGATGTGTACAGGTGCTGAGGGAAAGGGGGTACCGTACTTGGATACTCCTCCAGCATTTCGGCTTTTTCTCTCCGCTTACGATTTTCTCTAGTGTTCTGAGCTTCGCTTGCTGGCCGTGTGTGCAGTGGTATGTTCTTTGTCACAAGCGGGGGTGGCTCCAAGGTGGATCGGAATCGCACGGTAACCGGTGACAACAATTCCATGTTTTATCATTCTCGTCAAGGCTTTGTTTCTGCAAGCGTAACGCAGCAATCCTTCACTATCAAATTCCATGACATGTTTGGTGCTGGCCTCTATACATTGACCACCTCTAAGGACCCTCAGTGATAAAAGCCATATGCACTGTGCCCTCGCCAAATCCACACCCCCTGAGATTTTCCATAAATCACCCTCGACCGTTTTGGGCTTTAGGGCTCACACATTCAGGAGCTGAAGACTATCCGTGACATTGTTTAGTGTCGATCTTTCCCTGCGACCATGTTTTTTGTATTCTTGCTGACTCGTGTGGGTAGCCTCATTTTCCTACGTAGCCACGGCATCTACCGGTACCAGAGCAGTACCAGTAACCATGTTGTTGGGGGTGACGGTGATACAACAACATTGTCCATTGTCCAGCTGAATGAAGACACCAGTGGAAATGACAACAAAACACCACCCTGTCTGCTGGATTCACATCACATCACTCCAGAGGATCAACGGCGCGCCACCATACCGTATCCCATGCGACCACTTCTTCCCCTGCCCCCACCCACCCCCGTGGCCAAATCCACATCCCCTCCCCCCCACATTTTGTCCCTCCACTTCGTCCCCCGCCCTCCTTCCCCTGCTGCCAAATCAACATCAGCCCCCCACATCCTGCAAATGGATCGACCTTGCCCTCCCCTGCTCCCGTTCCGTTGCTGCGCTAGCCGCTCGCGCCACCAGCAAATTTCATCTGCGTCTGCAGAGCCACTACCTGTCGGCGCATAGTTCCTGCAATTGAGTGGTGGGTACGGGAGCACAGTCGCCTTTATGCACAGCTAACTTGTACAATATGGCCTGGAGGGGGAGAGAAAGAAGGGGGGAGGAAAAGAGGGGGTGGGGAGGGGATACATGGGGATTTAAGTTCCTGCAGTTGGGTGGCGGATACAGGAACACCGTCTCTGGTACGGGCTATTAGACCTGTCTCCGGGGTATGACAATATCTAAATGCTTTGTTGCCGGGCACGCAGCACAAGTCAGATTCGTTGCTGAGTGTCATAACGCTGTACCTACATGCACAAGTGGTGTGCAGAATGGAAGGGGCACACCTGCACTCCACGGGTGTGGAGGAGCATACATGCCGCCTCTCCAATGGCACTCACACCTCGTGTGGCAGCATAAGTCAGCTTCAGCTTCGTTCAAATCGCTACAACACACGAATGTTGCATTACAGCAGAATGGAAGAGCGACGCGAGGCGAGGCGAGGCGTGGCGTACCTGCACTGCAAGATCCGCCTCTCGTAAACCGGGGAGAAATCACTCGAGCTGAGTGGGCTTGTGCAGAGAGTAGAGCTCCTGGGCAAGATGGGAGGGGTGATAGATTGGGATGGGTGGGACTGGGGCACGGTTGAGAGGGAGGAGTGGATGCAGAGAAGAGGGGAAGAGAGGGGAAGAGAGAGAGATGGCAACAAGCAACAAGCAATATTGCTGAAAGAGAGATGGATGGAGCACGGAGAGGAGGGTGACCTGACCAACCATGCATGCTGTTCAAGGGGTGATTCCGGGCTGAAATGTTCATGGAGGGACGGTGAGGGAAGGGAGACGGTTCTGTTCTGACCTTCACGGCATGGATTGCAACGTGCTGCTGGTGCTGGTCAACATGTGCCGTGCGACTTTTGAGTCGACTCAAAAGTCACCTGGTGCTGGTGAGCATGTGCCGTGCCTGGCAGGTTCTTGAGAGAACGCTGAGAAACCGCGTGCAATAGTTGGGAGGTGGTTCTAACCTTGATGGCGTAGATTGCGACCTCCTGGTGGTGCACGTAGGGGGAGGAGGGCACGTAGGGGGAGGAGGGCACGTAGGGGGAGGAGGGCACGTAGGGGGAGGAGGGCACGTAGGGGGAGGAGGGCACGTAGGGGGAGGAGGGCACGTAGGGGGAGGAGGGCACGTGGGGGGAGGAGGGCACGTAGGGGGAGGAAGGCACGTGGGGGGAGGAGGGCACGTAGGGGGAGGAGGGCACGTGGGGGGAGGAGGGCACGTGGGGGGAGGAGGGCACGTGGGGGGAGGAGGGCACGTGGGGGGAGGAGGGCACGTGGGGGGAGGAGGGCACGTGGGGGGAGGAGGGCACGTGGGGGGAGGAGGGCACGTGGGGGGAGGAGGGCACGTGGGGGGAGGAGGGCACGTGGGGGGAGGAGGGCACGTGGGGGGAGGAGGGCACGTGGGGGGAGGCGGGCACATTGGGGGAGGCGGGGAATGGATGCTTCGTTTTCAGCACCGAGGCGGTCTGATGGTTGGGGAGGGAGCGGGGGAGGCGGGGGATTTGGGGGGGAAGGGATTGCGGAAGGGGAAGTTTAGGGTGAGGGGCGACAGAGTGAGAGGGGGGACGTTGGGTGAGGGGCGACAGAGTGAGAGGGGGGACGTTGGGTGATTTGTTTTGAAGAGCAATGGGATGGAATGGAGAAGGAAGAGCAATGGGATGGAATGGAGAAGGAAGAGCAATGGGATGGAATGGAGAAGGAAGAGCAATGGGGTTGTGAAGCAATGATGGCCAGCGCACACCCCTCCTTGCACCGTCCTTACACCCCCACTCGCGTCCCCCCCTCCAACCCCCCCACAGCCCGTAACCCCGTCAACCACCACGGCGTCTCACAGTGGCAGTGCACCAGGTTGCATCGCTGATCCACCCCCTCCCCTCCCCTCCTCCAGATTGAAATCATCCAGCGGAATCGTTGAAATTGGGCCCGGATGTCGCGTGCCGTGCCGTGCCGCTCATCCGCTGAAATCATCCACCAGAACCGTGCTGCTCCTCCACCCCCTCCCCCCCCCCCCCTCCTCCACCTCGCCTCCCTTCTCCTCCCCCTCCTCCTCCCCCTTCTCCACCTCCTCCCCCTCCTCCCAGTTTCCCCGCGTCCCCCTCCCCTTCCCGCTCCTCCGCTCCCGCTCCCCCGCGGCCCTCCCTAGCGGGCACCACTGTCCGCCAGAGGTACTCCTCGCGCGCCCACGGCACGAACCGCCCCATCAGCACAGTGTCAAAATACGCGCACGCGGGGAGCATGCCACGTGGCGGGTTGTTGCCGCCGATGCGGACCTTGCGGACACGTGGCAGCACGAGCGTGCGCCCCCAGTGGCGCGCGAGAGCCATTGCTCAGCTCAGGAGATTCCCTATGGCTAGGTAGCGCGCAGATGGCGCCGCGGCTGGGGGGCGGACGCGGGGGAAGGGACATGGGGAGGGGAAACAGTTGGAGAGGGGGGGAGCGGGAGTGAGTGGGGGAACCAGGGACGTGTGCTGGACTCGAGAGCTGGATAGCGCGTGAGGAGGTGAGAGTAGACGCGCATCCGCAGAAGATGAGAGAGCTAGACAACACGCGAGGATAATTATACCGGGACCATTTCAGATGAGGAGCGTCATTATTCGGCACTGGAACGAGAGGGGGAGTACAGGGATCGAACGACGCCGAGTACGTGGCGGCCTGCGACTCGTCGCACTCGAACGCGCTGCCTTGCGACGGCCGCCCCGCTGCGACGACGGCGACGCCAGCGAAGCCCGTGTGCGATCGCGGCGAAACCTTCCACGTCTCCGCGACGGCCGTCAGAAGTAGTAGCAGTAGCGCATTGATAAGTAGCGCAATAGGCATCGCATTTAAGTACTACTAGCAGTCCCCTGCATCGATGACTACTAGTATCGGGTCGACCCTCTCTACCGTGATTCGCGCGATCACTCGCGACAACGCGAGGAGCGATTCTCGTTGCCATGTCTCGCTGGCCTGCTAGCACGTTCCGGTTCCTTCCAGAACAAGGTCACTCGTGCTAGGAACGCCGAGAACAAGTCATCCTCGTTGGATCGCTATTCACGCTGAATCGAAATGATCACTCATTCTGCTCAGATATACGGATCTAAGGAGACTAGAGGCATGCTTTGGCTCGAGAGGCATGCGAAGTGTGTGACGCGACGCGGCATGCGGAACGCGCTGGCTGAGGGAATGCGTGTATTTGCTGGTGCAGAGAAATCTAAGTTTCACGACAGAACTCTGTCCATGGTGCCAGGTGTTATTCATACGAAGCTTCATATTTTAATTGACAACTATACATGGAGGAAAGTTCTTAACAGTACCATCCGTGAAAACTACAAGCGCTATTCCATTAAATAACAAGATACAAGTCAGAACCTAATGCTAAGCCTTCTAAGCTCCCTAAGACGAAGTGTGAGCAGAGCAGATCCACTTGCGCGTCCTCGCCAGCAGCCTGGTCTTCTTGACCCCTCTTGGCCGTCAGAGGCAAATGCCCCTGACGTTACACCCACGCACCACGATGAGGTGAGGGTCATTCGCGTGGGGGCCTGCTTGGGAGGGGGGAAATGGTAAAAACTAGAAACACGGGCAGATGAATAAATTAACGCATCGGACGATTCCGGTTTGCTGTCAGAAGGAGTTGCCGCTTTGACCGCCAGCCGTCAGGAGAGTCGCACGTACCTGAACGCACCTGATCCCACCCATCCCATCGCCCACGTGATTGTGCCTAATCGAACGAACGCTCCTAAACGTCATGTTACACACCTCGGATCGGACAATTCCGCTTTGTTGTCAGGAGGAGTTGCCAGGTTGATCCCACCCAAACCATCGCCCGCGTGATTGTGCCTAGCAATCGCCTAACGCTCCTAAACATCCAGTACCCACCACCATATCTCCCAACCACTTACACGCCTGTTTGCTCCCGCCGAATCTGCAAATTCGGGCGGGAGGGAGGGGGAAGTCAGATTCCAGCCTCCGCTACTTGCTCCTCGTTCCAGCTTCCCCCGACACCACTCCGCGTAACTTGAACTCCCTCGTCGCCGCCGCCAGCGCCGTTTGCTCCGGCTCCCGCCCCCGCCTCGTCCTGCGCTAAGAGAAAAGCCCACAATGGAAAAGGTTAGAATCTGGAAAAGGAAACGAATTGAAATTGAAACTGCACCTTACCATGTGAGGGAGTCGGCGTAGCTTGAAGTCCCGTTGCCGCCACCGCCGCTCCCGCTCCCCTGATCCTGCACTATAGAGAGAAAACAACGAATAAAGTTAGAATCCGGGAAAGAAAACGAATAAAAACCGAAACTGCACCTTACCATGTGAGGGAGTCGGCGTAGCTTGAAGTCCCGTTGCCGCCACCGCTGCTCCCCGCTCCCCTGATCCTGCACTTAAGAGAGAAAACAACGAATAAAGTTAGAATCCGAAAAAAAAAAAACGAATGGAAATTGAAACTGCACCTTACCTCGTGAGGGAGCCGGCGTAGCTTGAAGTCCCGTTGCCGCCAGCGCCGCCGCTCCGTCACAAAAAATGGGACGCCCAAAAGCTGTCAACGGTTCGCGTATCCAGCAGGCATGCGCACCCGGGCATGGCCTTGAAAGCTGTTAGCACACACAAAGCAGTCATTTCGAGCCAAGCAATGCAGATGCACTGTCACTGTATAGCCGAGCAATGGAACCCCTTTCACATTGTGTTTCCTGGAGGGGTGTGTGTAAGAGCGCAACCCGTTTGGCCAGCTGCGCGGTACAGAATCTTCCAGTATTGTTATAACAACTTTGAGTTTTTTAAAACTCGGGTTCAAAATAGAATGCGAAATCGTGTGCACAAACTTTTTGGGGCTATAACAGTCGTGATTACAGCGACTCAAGTTTGGATAAGGCTGTTCTGACGCGGCAACAACATCCAATTGTGTGGTGTGTGGTGTGAAAATCGGATGTTACATCTCGGATGTCATGCGCCTATGGCTGCCGAATCGCCTAGGGTTACCCACAATCTCGTCGTCAGCCAGTAATCGGCGACCAGGGTCCCTCGAGGGCCAATCGGTTGGTAAACACGCTGCCAAGCCAGCAGTGAATCGTTTTTCTTGCGACAGTTCGACCAGTCGCCAACGTGCCACCCAAAATGACAGCATTGGGCTGGTTCTTCGTCCCATTCTCGCTGGCAGGCAGTTCATTTGGGTGATCTGGATCTGCACGTGTGACACGACACCACAGCAACGACCGTTGGTGCGCGAGGAGCTTCCTCATACAACAAAGTTCATCCCCAGTCCTCCTCATTTCATTTTCTCGCCACACTTCGGCTTCTCGAATCTTTTGCTCCTTATTTTCTCGTCACCTATGCTACTTCAGCTTCTCGATTCATTTGCTCCTCATTTTCTCATCACCTAAGCTGGAAGTTCGGAAGTTCCTATAGCTAATTTTTTTTTATCTCTGTTCGTGGTCTTATGTCCTCCCGCCGCCAGGTCGTCGAGGGACTGCTTCACAGGGCAGTACTAGGGAACTTATTCCGACAGCGTCATGGCGATGGCGTTACAGAAAGACGACCTGCACTTGCTGCATCAATCGTCTGAAGGTCAGGTGAGTATTATTCCACCAACGCGATCTCTAATATGCATCCTTTGCCTTGTATATTTCCAGGATAAATACGTGCGTAACAGGCTGCAGGAGCATTTTACGGGCCTTTATTCATGGTTCCGAAGAATATAATACGGGGCGAAACAGTTTCGGACACAGCCACGTCAAACAGGTTTTGTAAGCTCTCCTTTTGTGCAAGTTGTTATGCTGACTAATTCGACTCCGTTCGTTGGGTCTATGCAGACTCCTGGCTTGGATGTGTGTGTTAGTGTGTTGCAGATTTGTGTAGTGTTGTGATTGCGTGTTAGAATGATGTATGCTGCAATTGTGGCCATTCTTTTTTTCTTGGACGTACATGACTCTGCTAGCTGCTTGATTGTGTTCCGAGTTACCGGTATGAGGAAATTATTAGTGATAGAGGAATCTGAACTCCTGTTCTTTGTGGCACAAAATATGACGTCTGAATTTGACGGTTCATGTAGCGTGTAACGCAGAATTTCACTGTTGCTTTACAGTACGATGTGTAACCGTGTCATGATGCGTTTTAGTCTGTGTAACATTGTAACAGTCCCTTATAGTTATTGTGGATTGTGTTATTGCGAATCGCGATTGCGTCACAAATGGTTTTTATCGTACATATGTCGGCACAAACACCCCGCGCTATACCGAATGGGTTAGTGGCAGATATACCATTCGACCCACGTGTGAAATTTTGCTTTATCGGGTACGAAGATTGCCCAAAATGTGTTGCGGCAATCCTTGCCGAACGTGCGAGGGTATCCTTGTCCAATCATCACCAACACTCATACAACACTGGTGCACGCAACGTTGATTGTTGAAGATAGACCTCCAGCAATGGTCCCTGGGACATAGACTGAACATTGTTCTGGCAGTCATTGAACAGTGATTTCCCGTGAATTTTTTTGTGACGTCCCCGCTCCCCTGATCCTGCACTTTAGAGAGAAAAGAACAAATAGTTAGAATTTGGGAAAGAAAACGAATAAAAACCGAAACTGCACCTTACCATGTGAGGGAGTCGGCGTAGCTTGAAGTCCCGTTGCCGCCACCGCCGCTCCCGCTCCCCTGATCCTGCACTTAAGAGAGAAAACAACGAATAAAGTTAGAATCCGGAAAAAAAAAAAACGAATGGAAATTGAAACTGCACCTTACCTCGTGAGGGAGTCGGCGTAGCTTGAAGTCCCGTTGCCGCCACCGCCGCTCCCTCTCCCTTGGTCCTGCGCTAAGAGAGAAAACAAAGAATGAAGTTAGAATCCGGAAAAAAAAATGAATGGAAATTGAAACTGCACCTTACCATGTGAGGGAGTCGGCGTAGCTTGAAGTCCTGGCGCTGAACGATCTGTGGCGGTCGAAGCCAAGCGCCATCCGTTCGCATCCCCCGACATCCGTCCCCAAGCGTCGCCATCCGTCGTCATTCGTCGCCATTCGTCGCCATCCGTCTGCATCCGCCGGCATCCGTCCCCATGCGTCGCCATTCGTCGCCATCCGTCGTCATTCGTCGCCATTCGTCGCCATCCGTCTGCATCCGCCGGCATCCGTCCCCATGCGTCGCCATTCTTCGCCATTCGTCGCATCCGCCTGCATCCGCCGGTATCCGACATCATTCGTCGCCATTCGACTGCATGCCTTTCCGCTCTGCGACGGTCGAAGCCAAGCGCCATCCGTCGGCATTCGTCGCCATCCGTGCGCCGCTGTGCGACGCTGGCGTCTGCAGGAAAAAAAACAAGAAGCCGTCAGGAAACTGAAATTGTAAGGAAAAAGGCAGAAAAAGCGATTTGATAGAGTTGAAAAACGATTGAAAACGACTGGAGTTGAAAACGATTGAAAAGCGATTGAAGGGCTCTTCAAGGCTTACCTCCATTGTATTGGCGGCGCGACCGGGGAGGCCGCAGGGGAGGCGCCGCGACGAGCTTGAAGCGATCTTTACTTTGAGGCTTCAGGTCCTTCCAACTTGAGGCTTCAGGTCCTTCCGACAGGATCAAGTCAGAGTCATTATTAGGCTTCAAGTCCTTCAGCCTACTAATGATCGTCTGCAAAAGAAAGAGTGAAACGAGTAAGAAAGTTTCTAAAAAACGGATTCAAAAACGGGTTAAAACAGACAAACCCTTACCTACACTCGACCGTCTTGCCGCATCCGAAGGCCACGAGCGTGAAAGAATCTTGGGCTTCATCTTGTTCAAGTTGCTCGTCTGCAGAGAACAACGTGAAAGGAGTTAATAAACTTTCTCAAAAGCACGTGAAACAGAAATAGTTGATGAAACGGCATCTCCACTTACCTCCATTCCACCGGAGACGGGAGAGGTTGCACCAGCAGGGGAGGCGCCACGGGGACACCATGAAGGCACCTGATAGCCAGGATGGTCGCCGTGAAAAGAAGAGGCCCCAGGGGAGGTGCCGCGATGAGCCAGAAGGGATATTGACATCAAGTCCTTCAGGCTTTAGGTCCTCCGGGTCTTCTAACGACAGGATGATCATCTGCAAAAGAAGAGTGAAACAAGTTAGATAGTTGCTCAAAAACATATTCAAATAGCTGTATTAAAACGGATTAAACCGGATAAGCACTTACCTTCACTCGACCGTCTTGCCGCATCCCGGTGCATCTCCGCGCGTCTCCGCGACGACCGTGAGCGGAAGGCCGCGAGCTTCATCTTCAGGTCCTCCAAGTAAATTTGAAAGAATCCTCCGGCAAGATGCTCGTCTGCAGAAAAAAACGTGAAATGAGTTAAGAATCTTTCTCAAAGGCACGTGAAACAGATTACAAAAAAGTAGATGAAACGGCAACTGCACTTACCTCCACTTCACCGGGGATGGGAGAGGTTGCACCAGCAGGGGAGGCGCCACGGGGACACCATGAAGCACCATGAAGCGTCAGTGATCGTTGCTGCCTTGTCGCTTGCGTCGCTTTCGAGTGGCCATCTTCGGTCGCCGAGACGGTCGCCGGGACGGTCGCGGAGGTCTGAAATGAAGGAGGCAACAGATCAGTACGGACGGCAATGAAGAAGGGCAGACACTGAAAGCGACAGTAGAGTTTAAAGAAAAAACTGGATGTATCAGTTCCAACCTGGACGACAAGTCCGTGACGGCAGTTGGCGTCCGGCCTTTCAGGTCCGCGACTTTCGAGCTGCGACGGTTTTCATGCGTGAAGCGCCAACGGCGATAAGTGCGCCAACACCAACTTCGATGCGCCAACTTCAAGACTTTATGTCCTCCATTCTCAGATCCATCGTCTTCAGGAAAACAAAGAAAGAGTTAGATAAAAATCCAGAAAAAAAACGTACAAACGGCAAAATCGCGTACGACACAAATGCGGAAACGATTCAGAGGACAAGACAAGACAAGAGGAAAACGAGTACGAGATTACACTTACCGTCTCCATCCAGGTGAGTCCTCATCATGTTGGTGAAGAAGATCTTGACTTGTGTGTTGGCGAGTTCTTGTGTTGGCGAGTTCTTCATGCACTAGAAGCACCTTAGGCCAGCGATGAGACGGTTAGTTCCAACGGCTTCAGGTTGAGCCTGAGAGCTACCCGCGAACTTCAACTTCAGATCCACACTCTGCAGGAAAACAAATAACGAGTTAGAAAAGAACCAGTAAAAAATTGGAAAAAAACGGCGATTCAGAGCGTAACCAGTAAAAAACGGTTGCAGGAAGAAATTTGGAAAACGAAATCGAGATTACACTTACCAGGTGGGTCCTCATCGTGTTGGTGAAGACTTGGGAAGACGAGAGGCGCCGCGAAACACTTTGAAGCTCTTGCCGAGACGAGCTTTGAGCGGAGACCCCGTAGCTTGCGTCTCCGTCTCAACCGGAGGCAAACGTGAACGCGTCGGCGATCAAGTCGGCGGCAGCAGAAGATGTGCCATGAAACACTTTAAAGCTCTTATGCCGTGGCGATCTTCGAGCGGAGATCCCGCCGTGGAAGTTTTCTGGCGTGAAGATTCGCCATATAGATCTTGCGATTATGCAATTGTCGCGGTAAAAGAGGTTGCCGCGGATTTTCGGTGTAGTACACGGGTCGGCCTTTGACACACAGCAGCTCGCTCCCTCACGGACTCTACCCACCCACCCCACCCGACCTCTATTCTAACTCAGCGCTGCTGCGTGCCGCGGGCTTCGCCGTGTACTAGTAACCGAGTGGCTTCAGGTAGCATAGATTGCTCCGTGGAGCTTGTAGCCTGAAGTCTAAGCTCATTAGGTTGGAGCTTTCTAAGAATCCTTCAGTGAGTTGAGAAGGAAGAAAACGGATGACAATGACAACTTGGATACTTATACTCAGGGAGGTAGCAAAAGGTAGAACCTGAAACAGAAGGATGAGCGTGCTGCTGCTGAACGGATGGCTGAATTGACTCCAGGAATTCAGCCGCCGTGGTGCATCCTACCGCGGCTTGAACCCAAATGTGATAGCTCAATCTGGTTTATCTGGGTGCAGTACGGTCTGAGGAGTTGTAATATGTAATTTCTGCCGGGACGGGAGGGAATTACTGACACCAGGCTGGGTGCGCGGTGCGATAGCAAACAGAGTGTGCCGTGGATGGTGGGGGCAGCCAGCCACCCTCAAGGTGACGATTAGGGAAGGGATGGCATGGGATGGGGGTGTGTGAGTGGCGGTGACCAATGAATGCCCCCGCCGACTTAGATCGCGGTCCTGGGGTGTCCAGGACACCCGAACTCTGGACACTCCGCACGTTGGTACCACGTGCTGGCAACATGCCCGCCCACACACACGTCGCAGGGTTGCCAATGTACACTCCTGCGACATTTTTGCACGACCCTACTTCCGAAGTGTTGTCGGGGCAACCTGCAGCCGAGGGGGTGGTTTTTAGGGAATCGTGAGAAGCCTGGGGCTGTCAAAATTATTTGGCGCACTGGAAAAAAACACAATCCCCATAGATTTCAATAATGTTCAGGCTTTATTTTTCCAGGATTCCCCAACGCGCGAGTTTTGTCGAGTCGGATGTTGCATTTTCTGGGGTGCGCCCTGGTGTTTCTTTCACACCCAGGTTGTCGCAGCAGTTCGATCGTGCGCGAATTTCATTGGTACACGAGTACAGGTGTACAGCGGGCAGGGTCTGCCCCTGCGACGAGTGGCACGCGTTGCCTATCCCCATACGGTACTTTCCAGGTCAGCATGTTCCAGGACACCCCAGGACCGCGACCTTAGCGGCAGGGGACATTCCCAGAGGGCGCGTGGTGAACATGTTCAGGCGGCTCAAATTTTGTCCCCGCCTTAGCCAGCCCAATCCATGTTTTACATTCATTGTACGGTACACAATTGGGTTGACATTTGCACTTCGGTTTGGATTGTCCGTATGCAAACGAGTTTGCTAAGGGCGCGTATTTCTGCTGGGGAAGGTTTGCTGGACGTGCTGGTGGGGAAGGGCAGGCTCGGGCTCTCTAGGAGGTGGTTGACGTGGCACTATCTTTAGTTGGGTCATGGGTTTTTTTGCGGGAAATCGTACAGCGTAGGTGAGCTTTTGTTTAGTTCGGCGTGAGGTGCGGGACGGCTTCGATTTCGTGGTGGGATTCGTACATGGTGCTGAGAAATTCGGCTAGCTGGGCAGCAGGGAAAACAATGGGTGGATAAAATATTTCCGTGAACCAATGGGAACGAGGATTGGTTTGGCACCCTGGCACAACAACCACCACGGCATTATCAACAACCCGAACCTCGACTTCCCGAACCTGGCACCCCAAATCCCGTCATTGTCAAGATAGCATTAGTAGTTTCGCCGCTCACCTTGTTGGTGTCCATGGACAATTTTGTAAGGTCAGATCTTAGCGCGGTACTCGATCTGAGTATAGCTTTTTCATGGCAGCGATTCTTTTTTTTCGATGTAGCAAGTGTCTCGGTGGTACTCACTTTTAGTCGCTTCAGGCGTCTGTTGGCGTGCTAGCTGTATCAGATATGATTAAATGTCGCAGTATCAGTAAGAAGATGCGCGATCTAGATCTGGCTTCTATTTACATGATGCGGACGGAATCGTGACGTTGGACAAATTAGTAGCGTCAATTTCGGACGCATCGTAGCGCGTTTCGTCGATTATACAGCGCGTTTCGTCGACCTCGGAGCGTCGACGGTATCCTGGACGCAAGACGGGAAAAAGAGGGCAGGAGGTGAGTGGAGGTGAGAAGATGGGGAAATGGATGGTAAGGACTGGCGAAACGGCGATGCGGCCACTTTCCCCTTGTTTTCCGCTTCCCCCTCCCCTTTCCGCTCTCCCCTTCATCTTCCTGGATTCTAGTGCGCGTCGATGGTACTTTGGACGCAAGACGGGAAAAAGGTGAAGCGGCCACCCGTTGATCTCCCCTCCCCCTTCAAGTTACCCCGCTTTTTTGTCTCTCCCTTTCTCCCCCCCCCCCCTACCCTCCTTTCCTCCCTTCCCGCGCTTCCGCTTCTCTCCCTTTTTTCCCTGTGATCTGGCTTACAAACGTCACGAATATCTCAGCTTCCGAACTTGCTCATATTCCCCGCTCTCCCCTCGTTTCCCCCGCTCTCCCTTCATTTTCCCCGGTCTCCCCTCATTTCCCCCGTTCTCCCCTCATCCTCCCCGCTCTCCCTTCGTCCTCCCCGCTCTCCCCTCGTCCCCCCCGCTCTCCCTTCATCCCCCCCGCTCTCCCCATCCCCCCCCGTTCCCTCATATTCCCTGCTCTCCGCTCAGCTTCCCCGCTCTCCACTCATTCCCCCCTCTCAAACTTCACCCCCCGGCCCCCCTTCATTTCACTGCAGCCTCTCTTGTTCTCTTCCTTCATGCCCACCCTCACCTCCCTTGTCCCACGCCGTTTTCCCCCCTCTCCCTCCACCGTTCCCTGCTTTCCGACACCCCTCATCCCCTTCCCCCTTCAATACCTCAACTTCCCCCCCGCTGATTCCTCGTCTCTTCCCCCCCCCCCCCCCCCCCCCCCCCCCCCCCCCCCCACCCCCTCATCCACCCTTCAACTCCCTCCCCTCCCTTACCACTGCCTCCTCATTTCCCTCATCTCTCACACCCCCCCAGTCTTCCAGAACCTAGCCATTCAAGTGAATGACACTCTCAGGACTGCCTTCACCGCATGCCATTTTCTGTGAGTGGATGCTTGTGTTTGCCGCATGTCATTTGACTTCTCACCTGCCTGGTTTGGCAGTGGCTGCATGTGGCGTGACTGGTTGTCTTGGCAGCTACAGAAACGACTCTCTGGGTTCCTGGTCTGATGCGTGGCTGCATTTGATTGGCCAGCAGCAGGCCCACTAGATTCTGCTGTAAATGTTTTGATTGAGTTGTACAGCCTGTTTGTGCCTACCTACCAATGTTTTTATTGATAAACATTTTGGTACTGCATCAGCTACCAGCCTGCTAAGCTAAGCAATACCTGTTCACATACGATGATATTGAAGTTGAGTGGTTAACTGTTGCCTCTGCTGATTACCGGTACCAGTTCAGTTGCCTGTGCTTATTACCGGTGCTACCACAGGTGTGGTACTGAACAACGCTACCTTAGGTGTGTATTGGCTGGAAGTTAAATCTAGGGTTGCTGCATTGTACTAGCACTCTTGTTACAATGCATCCCCACCACAAGTCCTTCCCAATTCCTTGTACGCGCTACAAGCTGCTTGTCAGGAGATCAACCTCCTCCACTTTCAGCCACGTTGCACCACATTCCCTATCAACCTCTTATTCTTCTCGCCTTCCTCCAGCTCCTCTCCAGCCAGACCACGGCTGCTCCGCCTATCCCCACAGCTTCGTGTTATGGCCGGAGCTGCAGAGTGTGGTCTGACGGTCGTCTATTCGTGCCGTTTCGCGTCATCACAGCTTCAATGCTAAGAATTGGACTCCTGTTGAGTTCTTCTGTCCGCTTAGTCCCACGTCTTCATAGACGATTCTTTCGTTCATTCATATACCGAGGTGGGCATCAAAGTCGAAGATGTTTCGTCGTCGTTTAGGCTGTGATAGCCTGTTCATCCATGGTTAGGTTTTTGTTTCGCGTGCACTGGCGTTTCCCGCCATCCTTCCGCGATAACCCTATTTCTACGACAAGCTAGCCACCTTCGCGGAAGCATCATGGCATATGACGCGGATCAGGAGGCGTTACGCGGCGTCGCGTACATGCCGTTGGAAATCGAGGATCCGCCGGAGCCGGCGAACAGTAGACGTGCGTCTGGCAGGGAATCACGTCATCGTTCTTCTACCCGATTAGGGTTTCGTAGCAAACGTGACTATAACGAGTTTCACGAATTTCACGAGTTCCAAGCAACTCTGGACCAGGAGAGTCAAGCTGGTCCGCCTTCAGCATCGGAAAGCCGTCTCCAGGCCTCGAACCTGCATCACAGGCTCGGAGCTGCTGAGATTGACGTACATCCGAACCTGAACAGCAGGTTCGGTGCGGCCGAGCTTGACGTGCAGCTTGGCCCTCCGGACCTGACGGAGGAGGGAGCGAGAGAAGAAGTGGGCGAAGATTGGCGAAGAGTTGGCGACGTGGACGGGTTCATGCGAGGCGTGTACGAGTACTACTGCGGGCGAGGCTTCGTGTGCATCGTCACCAGCGTGAGTGACGGCGTCCGCGTGGCTACCGCTGCTCGTCAACGTGCCTCTCCCATCCTCCATTTCCCTCGACCCTTCGCCCTCCCGCTTCGCCCTCCCCTCCCTCCATCCCCTCCCCCTCCCCCTTCCCCCCCATCGGTGGCAGTGGGTGGTGCACCTGTGCAGCCTGGCCTTCACCATCCTCTTCTCCGCGCTGCTGCTGCTCCTCATCGACTGGCGCGCGCTCCTCTCGCTCAACTGCTCCGCCGCCTCCGCCGCCGCCGCTGCCGCTGCGATCTCCGCCGCTCCGCCTGCCCCTGCTGCTGCCGCCATTTCTGCCACTCCCGCTGCCGCCGCTGCTGCCGCCAGCGGAGGATTCGGGGGGGCGGGGGCGGGGGCTGGTGAGCGCCCCGTTGCGCGGACACTCGCGGACACGCCGGGCGACAGGGAGTGGCTTGGTGGGGGGTCGTACGAGCGAGGTGGGGAAAGGGGCATGCAGAGCAGGTGGGCCGAGGCAATAAGTATTGTTAGACCAGACACAGCTGTACTTAGTCCTGTATATAGAGGCTCATACGGAGGTGTATATAGCGGTAGGGATGGGTCGAGAGTCGAAGCAGGCGCGGAGCAGGATGCGATAGTTCCTGGGGAGCGGAAGAGGAGGCTTGTACAGGGGAGGGCAGCAGACGAGGGAGTAGCAGAAGGAAGGGTAGCAGAGGGGGGGTTGGCAGAAGGGAGGGTAGTGGAGGGTGGAGTAGCAGAGAGCGCAGCAGAGGCGGCGATGCATGAAGCGGAGGGGGCGGCAGAGGGCGCGTGCGACGTGCTGAAGCATGCCATAAGGGGGGACGTGTTTCGGCATGTGACTGTGTGGGAGGTGACAGTAACGGCGTACCTGGCGCTGCTGTGCCTGTACTGGCTGCTCTGCTTCGCGCACTTCTTCCTCCGCCTCCCCGCGCTGCTGGAAACGCGCGCTCTCTTCCGCCACAGGTGCGTGCTGTGTGCTGCACGTGTTCCGCCACTGGTGCGTGCTGTGTGCTGCACGTGTTCCGCCACTGGTGCTGTTCCCCTGTCCCCCTGTCCTCTTGTTCATGCCCCCCCATCCCCAAATCCCCCTATGCGCGCAGGTTGCGCCTGTCCGACCATCAGCTACTCATGACGCCCTGGCCCGCCGTGGTGGCGCGCCTGGTGCGCGCGTGGAATGCCGAGGGCGCAGGGGAGAGGGAGGAGCTAGTGGGGGGGCGTGCAGGTGGGGGAGGGGAGGCGCGCATGCGTGGGGAGGAGGATTCCAGCGAGGACGAGGAGGAGGGGGAGCCAGTGCAGCAGGGGGGAGAGAGGCATGGGAAGGGTCTGACAGCAGCAGAGTGGTTGGACTCAGGCGCAACAAGGGAAGGCGGAGCAGGGGAGGGAACTCCAGGGGGGATTTCAGGAATGGGAGTGGTGGGAGAGAGTGGAGGGGGAGGGGCAGGCGGGGTGGTGTGCGGAGGCAGGGCGCGGGTGGGGGGCCTGTCAGCATACGAGGTGGCAGCGCGCATCACACGGCGAGACAACTACCTGGTGGCGCTGGTGGACTCGCGCCTGCTCACTGTGCGCGTGCCTGCTGGGGGGGGATCCAGAGGCTCGGGGAGCACGGGCGCTGCGCTCGCTGCTGCGCTGCTCACTGCTGTGGGGCCGCTGCTGTCCTTCCACGTGGTGCATGAAAAGAGGCGGCGCAAGGGAGGGAGTGGCGGACTGGGGGAGGGGCGAGAGGAGGAGCGAGAGGAGGGGCGGGAGGGCCGGGAGGGGCGGGAGGAGGAGGGGTGTGTGCGGGTGACGGTGTTGAGCAAGACATTGGAGTGGGTGGTGCACTGGTGTGTGCTGCACCCGCTGCTGGACCGCCACGGCCGCCTGCAGAAACACTTCCTCGACGACCCTGCAGCGCTGCGCCAGCGCTTCATGCTCTCGGGGTGGGTGCTGGCGCTGCTGTCGCCGTTCGTGCTGCTCTTCGTGCTCTCCTTCTTCCTGCTGCGCAAGGCCCACCACCTCTACCACGAGCCCGCTGCTGCTGGCGTGCGCTCCTGGTCCAACCTCGCGCGCTGGATGTTCAAGGAGTACAATGAGGTAATGTGGGGTTTTTTAGCAATGCAAAGAGGTAAATGCTGCAAATTTATTGCGTATTTCTCGAGGTGTCCAACCTGTTTTATACCCGTCTAACTGCCCTGGTTCCAAACCATAGTCTCGCCCTGACCCCATCTGCCATATCCTCCCTTCCCCACGCCCCTCCCCACAGGTGGACCATCTGACTTCCCAGCGTCTGGATGCGGCATGCCCACGGGCGGACGAGTACCTGGCGCAGTTCCCCTCGCCGCTGCTCTCACTGGCCGCCAAGCTCCTCTCCTTCGTTGCTGGCTCCTTGGCTGCGCTGCTGCTCGCGCTGGCCCTTGCAGACGAGAAGCTGCTGGAGGCGCAGGTGAGACCAGGGACCAGCAAGCCTTTTCAATCAATTCCTAAGAGCGAATCCCTCGTTCTTGCTCTCCCCTTTTTTGTGTTTTCTTGGATTAGAAAGAGGCACCTTCAATTGTGTTGTGTCCTCTGCCGCCCTTTCATCAGCTCTTTGGGCGCGGCCTGGTGTGGTACGCGGCCATACTGGGCGCAGTGCTGGCAGCAGCACGTTCGTATGAGTCCACTCAAAACAGCACACCCCGTCTGTGTCCTCGCCTCCTGTTGCACCCACCACCCCCCAGCTCTTTGGGCGCGGCCTGGTGTGGTACGCAGCTATACTGGGCGCAGTGCTGGCAGCAGCACGGCCGGTGGCGCAGGCGGACAGGGCGGCGGGCAGTGTGGACCCCAAGGGCGCGCTGCTGCGGGCAGCACAGCACACGCACTTCCTGCCCAGCAGGTGGCGCAACAAGGCACACACACAGCGAGTCAGGGACGAGTTCCAGACGCTGTACCAGGTGAGTGTGTGTTGTGAGGGGCGTGTGGTGATGGTTCTGCTCGTCGTGTCACCCTTGCCTCCCCTATCGCACCCCCCCTTGTTTCATGCTCGCCCTCCGCTTCTCGCTCTCCTCTTGTCAACTCTTCTCCTCTCCTCTCCTCCTCTCCCCTCCCCGCATGTACACACCTGCCTGCAGCTGAAGCCTCTGCTCTTTTTCGCGGACGTTTTCGCTATCTTCATCACGCCCTTCATTCTCTGGTTCATCCTACCCCAGGTACCGCCTCCCTCCGCCGCTCTCCCTTGCTCTTCCCCGCGCCTTTCCATTCCTCTTGTCCATCTGAACTCGTTTTTTCTGTCAGCTCCTTCTTATGTTCTGCTCCCATTTGCCCCATCCGCCCACCTCCCCATCCGCCCACCTCCCCATCCGCCCACCTCTCCATCCGCCCACCTCCCCATCGGCCCACCGCCCCATCCGCCCACCTGGCTGCCCTGCCATCCCATCCCACAGAGGGCGGACGCCATTCTCTCCTTCCTGCGAAGCACCTCCACCTACCACGAGGGGCTGGGCCACGTGTGCTCCCACAGCGCGTTCCACTTGCAGGGAGAGCAGCATGCCAGCAGCAGCAGGAAGAGCGGTGCTGGGAATGCGACCAAGGGTGATAGTGGCAGGAGTGGCAGTGGCGAAGGGGGAGGAGGCGGGAACGGTGGGGGTACGCGAGGAGGGGAGTGTGTGGATCGACATGGGGTGGGAGCGTGTGTAGGGACGGTGGGGGATATAGCTGTTGGAGTGGAGGGTGGGCAAGGACGCTGGGAGGGGAGGCGCAGAGGGGGGGTTGATGGCGCGTTGTTGGCAGTGGGCAGCAGCAGTGAGAGCAAGGCGGAGGCTTCGTTTGCCAGGTGGGTGTGGTGGCTGCTCATAAGGGAGGTTGAGGGTGCGCACTGCACTGGCTGATGGTGTGGTGGTCTTGGTTGTCTTGGTTGCCTCCTCATTCCTACCACACCCCTTTCATTGGTACCATCCTGCTGCTTCGCTCTGGCGCTCTCCTGCTCTCCGTTCCCCTTCCTCTCTCCTCATACTGCAGTATTTTTCTTTTCCCCCCTACCCCTCTCTCGTACTCCACCGCTCTCCCCTTCCCCCCCCCGCCCTCTGGCTCTCCTCGCTTGTGCTGCTGTCCATACAACAGCTTCTGCGCCAACTACCCATCGTGGCAGCCCCATGCTTCAGCCCAGCGATTTCCAACGCCCTTTGCTCTGCAGCAGCAGCAGGATAAGGAGCAGCAGCAGCAACAGCAGGAGGAGCAGAAGCAGCAGCAGCAAGAGGAGGAGGTGATGCAGTACCAGCAGCAACAACAACATAGCAAGAACATACATGATCCGCTTCCCTTACAGGCACGTTCTGTACAGCCACAATTACCACCTCCCCAACTTCACTTGTCATCAGGGGGCATAACTACCACAGCACCACCAGCAGCAGCACCTGCTGCGTCCATTTCCGTGCCTCATCACTCGCCCTTCTCCCTAACACCTACGTCCAGCCCCATTCGTCTCTCCTCATCCCACCAACCACCCATTGACAGCCCTCTCGCACCCACCACCCTCGCCTTCCCAGCCCCCCACCCTCATCGCCACACACATCACCGTGCTGACTCCACCCCCCCATCCCCTCTCCGTGCTCTCGCTTCCCCTACACCGCTCGCACCGCAAGCTTTACTTGCTCTCGAGATCGCTGCAGATTCTGCCCCTCTTCAATCACCCTCTCACTGTCACCACCCTGTACAGTCACAATCAATTGTACCAATTCACTCTGCAGCAGTGCCTCGAGTGGCAAGCGGTGCAGAGGGGTCGCAGTGGGTGGTGCAGCGGGGCATGCAGCCCACTCGCAGCCTCAGCTGCAGTGACGGTGTGTGGGAGGGGATGGGTGAGGGGGATGGTGTGAGGGAGAGCAGTGGCATGGGGGAGTGGGATGGCATGGGTGATGGCGATGGCATGGGTAGCAGCATGTTGTTAGAGCGCATGGATGCTGCCATGCATGGCAGCTTGCCTGGGGGCATGCATGGGCGTTCATATGGCGATATGCATGGGAGCATACATGAAGGGATGCAAGCAAGAGGTAGCATCACATGGGGGGAGACACAAGGAAGGCAGCAGCCCCGACAAGAAGCACACAGGCAGCAGTGGCCAGAACAAGAACAACCGCTGCCACTGCGCCATGCGGTGGCGGCTGGCTCTCCATGTGTTACTCGAGTAACGCGCAGCCCGAGTGCGGATGCAGTGCATACGGCCCACGCGGGAGGGGCGGTGGTTCATGCAGTGCATGCAGTGGCACCCTCTGCTGTGGTTGCTTGGAGAGAAAGGGCAGGAGGAGGCGCAGTGGGTGCAGCAGGTGGGGAAGCAAGAGCAGGAGGAGCATCAGGTGCACTTGTGTCAGCAAGTTCAAGGAGAGACGATCCCCCGGTCACGTTGCACAAAGGGGACTCTCCGCCCCTGCCCTTTGGCGACATCTTTGCTCTTGACTCCGACTGATTGCGGAGGGACAGTGTACAGTTCACTTGTATCTAGAACTACACTACATGTAATATATTTCCTACCTACATATCCTTACATATGCACTCCTGGCTGTGTTGATTCAAGTCCATGTCACATGGCATCTTTCATTCAAAAGGAGGCTTGCTAGCATGCACTGCATGACACACAACTCAATACACTTCCAAAGATGACCCAATGATGGGTGTCTGTCTGCAGAGGACCCCTTCCATTTGCCCTCACTCTCTCACCACCGCTCGCCTGCTTTCCCCTGCACCCTCCTCCACCCGCCTGCACTCCCTCCTGTCGATCCTGAACCCGCGGATTCGAACCCACTCAGGCACTTCTTGATCCTCCGGATCCACTTGCACGATCGGCCAACCACGGTTTGACACCTGGAGCCCTTCCAGCACCACTGTCATGCCTCTCCCTGCCTTCACCCACAGCGCTCCATCCAGCTGCAGGCTATGCACCTCCACCCGCCCCTCGTGCTGCGCCTCCCCCTGCCTCTCCCCACTCCCTGCCTCCCCTGCTGCCCCATCCCCTTCCTGACCCTCCCTCCCCACCTCCGTTCCCTCTCCTTCCCCTCCATCCGCTCCCCCCTCCACCTCAATGACAAAAGTCGAGTCCTCAGATATCCGCACTTGCTCAGGGTGGGGGAAGCGCGAGCGCAGAGCAGCGAGGGTGGGAGCCCAGTGGGGAGACCACACCACACGAGGCCACACCTCCACCTCTTGCCCTGCAATCACGGTGGTCTTAGGGCCTGCCACGTGGACGCCTAAGTGCTTGAGGATGAGACAGTTGGCGCGGTACAGGTGGAGCTCTGCTGACGTGGCGCTGTGAGGTGGCGTGCCGGCTGCCAGCTTGGCAACAGCGTCGCGGAGATTGTTCTTCACGGGCGAATAGGCCAGCCACACGTCAGCTTCCTGGGATTGAGGCAGAGAGGAGAGCATGTGGGTGCCTCAACCAGGGTTCTTGTTTTGCAATTCCGTGACAAAAAGCAAACAGGCTATCGTGGCGACAATAAGAAAGCAGGGGGCCAGGGCAGGGGGAGGAGGAGGAAAAGGGTAACGTTCTGTGTTTGTTTTTTGTGTGTTGGAAGGTGACATGGGAGAGAGTGGCTGACCGTGAAGCCAACAGAGCGGGAAGGGTGGATGGCCTGGGGGAAGTCTTGCATCATGCACTCCAGACGCGTGGATGCTTTAAACGCTGTGCGGGTGGCGTCTGTGTACCTGGTGGGGGGGAGGGGGGAGATGAGAGGGAGAGTGTGCCAAGTGGGTAGAGCGGGGTGAGGGACGAGAATGGCAGATGTGAGGGGAGAGGAAAGACGGATGAATGTGCAGTGTTATGTGATGGATGAGACGAAATGCATGCAGTGACAGAACACACCGCCCACTATCCTATCCCTTGCTTGCCGTTTGACTCACTTGGGGTTGACAAACTCCCCAATGACTCCATGTGTCTTAGCGAGTTCCTCTATATAGGGGCCCAGGCGCAGCACAAGCTGCAGGGGGGAGGCAGAGGAGAGAAGCGGGGAGTGAACCTGGAGAACATGGCATGACATGGCATGGGGTGGCATGGCTTGGGATGGGGTGGAATGGCACGGCACGGCATGGGATGGCATGGCAGGATATGGCATGAGCAGGAAAGGCGTGGCGTGGCGTGGCGTGGGGAGGGGGACCTGGTTGATGTTCCCTGGGAAAGGCGAGAAGCCCGTGGAGGGGTCGTTGGCATCGCCGTCCTCATGCCCGCACGCCCGCAGCAATGGGTCCAGCTGATTGTACTCCACGTTCACCACCATGCTGCGCCCTGCTCGGTGGGATGCATGATGGATGGATGATGCAGTGCAAGCGAGTTGCAGCATGGTCACGTTCATCAGCACGCCCGCAGCAATGGGTCGAGCTGGTTGTACTCCACGTTCACCACCATGCTGCGCCCTGGGGGAGAATGGTGGATGGATGGATGGATGGATGGATGGATGGATGGATGGATGGATGGATGGATGGATGGATGGATGGATGATGCAGAGAGAGCGAGGTGCATGATGCACATTCATCAGCATGCCCACGGTAGCAGGTCCAGCTGGTTGTACTCCACGTTCATCACCATGCTGCGCCCTGCTTGGCGTGATGCATGGTGGATGGACGGATGGATGTTGCAGTGAGTGGCGTGTGAAATGGTCACATCCATCAGCATGCATGCCCGCAGCAATGGGTCCAGCTGGATGTACTCCACATTCACCACCATGCTGCGCCCTGCATGGTGTAGCACATGCATTGATGGATGGATGAAGTTACCACAGGCACCCATGCCCGTGCCCAACGGCCCATCCCGTACTCCCCATCCCCACGCACCCCCTCTACCCCTCTCGCCATACCATCGGAGTGTGTGAGTCTTGCGATCCCCCCGATGGCCTCCTTGGCCTTGCGCGGCACGGCCAGCGAGTTCACGTCCAGCTGCCTCAGCGCGCTCACTCCCAGCGAGCTAGGCACCACCTGGGGGCACGACACACACAAGGGATGGCAGTAAGGGGGGGAAGAGAGGAGGAGGCGGAGAGAAGGAGGCGGAGAGGCGGAGGCGGAGAGCAGGGGGTATGAGAATCACATGACATGGAGACTGGGTTCTGTGAGTGAGCTCAACTGCAGCCGTTTGTGTGACTCTCACTGCTCTCCGTGGATGGCTCAATGGTGCACACATGGCTGGGAGCAGAAGCTGTGCATCTGAACACGCCCCTCTTCATGCACGCCATGCTAATCCTGTTGCAGTGCAGTGGTGTGCGGTGCGGTGCGGTGTGAAGCACGTGCAGAGTACCTTGAAGAGCAGGCCGTTGGTGTCTTGGAAGAACAGCACCCACTCCACTCCCCCTGCTCTCCTGCATGTGCCATGTGCCATGTGCATGTGCATGTGCATGTGCAGAGGCATGTACCACAAACATGTGGAATGGAAGACAGATGTGGCGATTGAACACCTCAGCAGACATGCGTCAACCACAGCACAATCCCATGTCATGGGCCCATAATGAGCAGAATAAAACCATGGCATGGCAATCACGACATGGCATGGCATGGCATGGCATGGCATGAGGGCACACATACCATGAGGGTAGGAGGCCACTCTGGTACAGCAGCATGTGCACATCGCCATGGCCATGCGGCTTCGTCTGCCAGATTAACCCAGCATGGGATGGAAGCATTCAGGGCGGCAGAGAGGGCACCGCGCAGCAGATGGAATGAGCGTAGCGGACGGAGTGGGAGATTCAGAGAGATGAGAGAGATGAGAGAGGTACGTGCAGAGTCATGTGAGAGGTAATTTTTGAGGCGCCTCAAAAAGAGTCATGTGAGAGGTATGCACAGGGCAGGGCAGGGAGGCGGGCACACACCTGGATGAGGAAGGGGTCCTTGGGGTCCAGCGCGAGGTGTGCGTCGTTGT